AACTTCTTCTGTAAGGTATGCTTGGCATATAGATGCTCCAACGTGTGCTTTATTTGTCACCTTCTTTTTCAGTTCTCGCAAAAACCTAAGACATATTTTACCAAATATTAAAAGATTATTTTATATTAATATAAACAATATATGAAACCATTTACAAAATGCATAATAATTTTACCTCTCAAATCCATACATCCATCTATACCAACTTGGCCCTGCGGTCATTGCTTCAAATGGAAGATGGACAAGTAGATGCTCCATTCCATCGAAAAAGGATGGAGGAAAGATCTTTTCCAAATTGCACAAAATAGTGGGAACGTTACGGTGAAGATCCTGAATTGCTTGTATGTCTAGCACCGGTGAGCATAACAACTGAAATAATTGAGAAACATCACAAATACATGCCCACACATTATTCGGGAGATTTTCCTTCAATGCAATGGGAAGGAGGCGTTGCATCATGACATGGCAGTCATGACTCTTCATGCTCTTCATTACCAAATTTTCCAAGTCAACACATCTATTAAAGTTAGAGGTGTATCCATCAGGGAATCGTAGCTTGATGAGCCACTCCAATATGCATTTCTTCTGCTCGTCCGTGAGCTGATAAACTGCTTTCTTGAATGGACCGACATACTCAGGGCCCATAGCAATTTCCGGTCTATCACAAAACAGAGCTACATCTTTCCTTGATGAAAGGCCATCCTTAGTCTTTCCCTTGAAGTTCATAACCGTGTTAAAAATGTTATCGAAAACATTTTTCTCAATATGCATTACATCCAAATTATGCCTAATCAGAAGATCCTTCCAATATGGCAAATCCCAGAAAATGCTTTTCTTTGTCCACTTATGATAAATGCGATATCCATCTGGATACTCAAGAGGCTCGTCAATGGCAGAAGGGATGTTTCGAACACGATCATAAATCTGATATCCTGTTAAAATCGGAGGTGGGGGATCGCGGTCCTTGCGACCCTTGATGAATGACTTCTTATCCTTTCGATACGGATGATTAGGTGGGAGAAATTTCCTGTGACAGTCAAAGTAGGATGCTTTTCGACTATTCTTTAGCCAAAATGCATTTGATTTTTCCATACAAACAGGGCAACCCATAAGGCCTGCAGTACTCCATCCAGAGAGCATTCCGTATGCTGGAAAATCACTAATGGTCCACATAATCGCAGCTTTCATATTAAATATTTGATCCCTCGAAACATCATATGTAGGAACACCAACTTCCCACAAATGTTTCAGCTCTTCGATCAATGGCTGCAAATACACATCAATTCTTTTTTTTGGATTACCAGGACCTGGACACATTAATGATAAAAACATAAAATGATTTTTCATACACATGTCCGGGGGCAAGTTATATGGGGTAATGATAATTGGCCAACATGAGAACTGGCCTCCAAATTGACCGTACGGAGCAAAACCATCAGAACATAACCCAAGTCTAACGTTGCGCGGCTCAAAAGCAAATTGAGGATAACACCTGTCAAAATGCTTCCACGCTGCAGAATCTGATGGATGACACATTAACCCTTCTTCAGTGTCATGCTCTACATGCCACGTCATGTGTTTCGCGGTAGCGCTTGAGGCATATAATCTCTGCAAACGTGGTGCTAAAGGAAGATATATCAACTTCGATGCTGCAGATCTTTTTCGGGCTTTTCGAGTCATACCTGATATGGGCTTGTACCTATCCGCATTACAAAACTTACACCGGATAAGTGTTTCGTCATTCTTCCAAAACAACATACATCCTCCAGGGCATGCATGGATTTTGATCATAGGGAGACCTAACTCAGAAACAAACTTTTTCATGTTGTAGTAACTATCGGGAAGACAATGATCACGAGGTAGCATACTACCAACTGAGTCTAATATTTTGGACATGCAGCTTTCAGAGAGGTTATATTCTGACTTTATGTTAAGAAATTCAGAAACTGCTGATAATTGTGAATGATCATAACAGTCAGAATATAAAGGCTGGTCCGCACTTTTGAGCACTTCTTGAAATCTAGTGCCTAACACATCCACATCATAATATGATGAGCTTGGTCCTTCGTTCACATTATTGTGTGCGTTGAAATCACTATCCGTGTGGATATTTGGAAACGTAGAAGGACCAGTCAAATCATAAAGCATTTTTTGCTCCCATACCATTTCTTCATAATTTCCCCAATTAGCCATCTCATCGGGAACATACCTCGACATTCCTACGTTTTGCGGCAACAACTCTGGCTCAATTGGTTCTCCTTGAGCAGTCCAGTTGTAATAGTTTTCAACAAAACCATGCGTATATAAATGCCAACAAACCTCACCACCTTCAACAAATTTGTTATTTTTACACTCTGTACAAGGACATCTTATTTTACTTCCATCAGCATAGCGTGTTTGCCCTTGTGCAAATCTAATAAATTCGTTAACTCCATTTTCAAACACTTTTTTCAATCCTCTACCATTTTCCTTGTAGCGGTCATACATCCAACTTCTAGTTTGTCTATTCATTGTGCCTGAATATTAAAAAATATCTTAATGAACTTTTTTTGACAGTATATCTTAACGAAATTAATTTATTAAATTTATAAGCTAATGTCTCACGTTTTAAAGCTAACACTTGAATTCAATCAAAATAATTAAGACAAATTAAATAATACTGATAACAACTCGTAATATGGATATGATCAAATTAATTTAAAAGCACAATGGTCGAAATTTACATACCTTAAGTACAACGATGATACCAAGTAATATAAAGTAAGAAATCCAAATAGAAAACCTCCAGATATCAAGTAATATAACTTCCAACTTCTATCCAGAATTCATCATACACAAAGATCAAAGACATCATTTTCTGAGATGTAGTTTGCTTCACATCCCAACTTGGTATATTTGTAGATTTAGTAGGCACAGAAATTGGGACGGAAATATCCCAGCCAAAATGTGCAGAACGGTCCTCATTGTCTCGGATTTTGGCACGACACTAAGTTTCTATGAAATCTGCTCAAGGCGACGGTTTTTGGAACGGCCAAATTCCGGTCAAACTAACGGTTACATTTTGGCACTACGTTTGGGACGGATAACAGCCAGCCAACGTAACGGCTAGAATTTGGCACGGAACTAGGGACGGACATTAGAACAACTAAATATGATACGGGGTTGTCTCGGCGTTTGGCACGGAAAAGCTTGGGACGGATATATGCCGGGCCAATTTAAAAAAAAAAACGTCTGTCCTTGGGACGGATACTCTTCCCTGCCATATTGTCACGGCATTTGGCACGTATATTAACACAGGCCAACTACGTGACAATTTTTTCGGTCTTGTCACGGATGTAGGGTCGCAAATTCCGAGCCAAACATATTGGCACGGATAATTCCGTGCCATTGTCGTAATAAATCGACTTTTCCAGCATTCCGTTCCCAAATCCGCGCCAAAATTGTCTCGGATTTTTTCCGTGCCAAAATCCGTATCTATAACGAGTTTTTTTGGTAGTGGAGGCGGAGGACTTTTAAGTAATTTCGTAGCAAAAGTGGATTTTTTTCCCTCAATTTGAAAAATCAAAGGTAACTTGGAAAATATAATCAGGTTTTGACCTATGTTTAAAAAACCGACCCGACCCGGCCGGGTTGACCCGGACAAAAATCCGGTTCGGTTTCTTCAAAACCCGAAAATGGTCAAAAACCGGAAAACCCCGGTTGACCCGAAAAAACCGATCCGGACCCGACCCAAGAAACCCGAAAAACCCGGGAAAACCCGGTTTTCGGTCTTTTCCAAAAAAGTAATTTCTTTTTTAATTTTAATGCATTTTTTAAACCAATAAAATTGCAATTTCAATTCCCTAAAAATAAAAACTATGTAATATATTTATATATTCATTTAAGAATGAAAATCATGCCAAATTATAATATAAATGTACAATACAAATAAAAATATACTACCTCCGTCCCAAATTGATTTGCAAATTTGACTTTTCTTGGTCAAACAATTGCGTTTTGTTCACTTAATTAGGTTGCCAATTTTTAATTGTATTCTAATTTGGAGTTTACAACTTTGAAGAGATTTTGATGTAGTTTATGAATATGTAAATTTATTTATTAAAAATTAAATTAATTATGCATAAGAAGGATTGACTTTTATTACTGGTTGACCAAAAAATGTTGACTTTGCAAAACAAATTGGGACGGTGGGAGTATAATGACAGTGTATATAATTATATGTTTATTATTATATAGACGTATAATCGTTGACCGGCTTTCCGGCTTTGACCGGGTTGACCCTCCGGGTCCGGGTTGACCTGTGACCCAGTCACATGACCGGGTCGCTCACCGGTCCAGTTTTTACAACATAGGTTTTGACATCTGTCGACTGTCAAATGCACCAAAACATTCAGCTATATGAATGCACGGTAAAATTTTCCAATAAATTAAACTTTTTGACAAAAATATATACTACATCCGTAACAAAAAAATCTTCCCGCTTTCCTTTTTCATCCGTAACAAAAAAATCTTCTCATTTCTAAATCTTCTTATCATACCCTCAATAATTCTGAAAATAATACACTATTACAACTACTTTTTTGGATTTATCCTACATTCCATCACATTATTCTCCTATCTTCCCATCATACCCTCAATAATTCATATCCTCTTTCACTTTTAATCTACCTACTTTTGAAATGAGAAGTTTTTTAAGTTACGGAGGTAGTATGATGTAAATATGCAACTCTATGTTTTGTCATTACACACTCCGTATATTATACAGAGTACTACGTATATACCGACTAATGATAAATTCATGAGAAAAATTTCTAAAAAAACTGAAGTTTGGCAATATCAAACTTTAAATATGGAAGTTCCTACAAAGTTTTTTTCAAACTTGGCAGAAATTGCTCCTATTTAGAGGGAGGGAGGACATGAAGACTCTATTTTGGAATTTCAGAACATTTTTAGTACTATTTAGGACAAGTTCTATAAATATATTTACATCGAATATCTCTGAAATATTTACACACTATATTAAGATCCGAGCTACTCAATCCAGCCTCCTATCAAGTTGACCTTTATTTTAGAATAAAACCTCGTATCTTAACACCCACCGATCGGCAATCAGCACAAACTAAAGCCATGAAAATTAAAACAACAACAATTATTATTACATTAATAGTACATAATATACATTTTATTACATGAAATGTGTTGTAGATAGAAGTGTGGCCGTTCTCCGTGATATAGCAGCAGACAGCAGTTAATTATATCGGAAGGGGACGGCCGGTGAGGGTAATTTGGTCATTAGCTTCTGCGGCGGTTTGACTATCATCGTTGACGTTCTTGATTGCGGTGGTGCTACTTTTGACCTCACCATAGAAATAGGAGACGAAGCCCCAGAGGGAGAGGGCAAGAGAGACACCCTTCTGAGTCTGGAACTTTTCTCCGTAGAAGACGACGCCGAGAACCTCCGTGACGGAGAGCAACATGGCTATCACGACGCCTGACAGCAGAGACGAGCCGTAACATATAACGCCGACGGCTCCGACGAAAAAGAGCTGCCACATTATGGCGGTCCATATCACGACGGCGTAGTATTTCCCTTCTCCCATTCCGTATTCTCTCGCCTCCCTTGAAAGTGCCTGCACCCACCACCGGCCACATCATCAGTGCTTATTAATTACGCACTTCCTCTCGTTTAAAAGTTCGTGTCCACTATTCTCCGATTACCGTGAAATGTTCTTAATCTTTTATTTTACACATCCAATTTTTATCAAATACTCCCTCCGTCCCGAAAACAATCTCCCGGTTTGACCTACACACATATTTAGGAAATAAATTTGACTTTACTGTAGAGTGCACTGTTTGGCACTGTTTAAACACTGTTTGGCACTGTTTATCACTTTTTTGATGTAGATAATTTGCCAAATAAGGAAAGTATTGAAGTGGGAAGTTAATTTTGGGACATCCATTTAAGGAAAGTGGGAAGTTGTTTTTGGGACGCAGGGAGTATAATTTTTCTTGATCACGTATTATAAAATTTTTAATGTGGTTTCTGAACATGTAAATTTTATTTATTAAAAATAATCTTATTAATCACATGGATCAGTTAACTTTATGATTAATCAAATATCGTAAATTGTGTGAGAATCTTTAAATGAGACGAAGAGAGGACAAAGTAGGAATGACATCAAGTATATACTACGGAGTACGTACTACGTATATGCGTATATGCTAGCTTATGAAGTACGTACTCCGCAAATGAAAGAACGTAATATGGCCTTGATTTAGTTCTAACATACACTTGCCAAAAAAGGAATGAATTGAAAGAACATAATACTTTCTCCGTCCCGTTATAAGGTTCCCACTTTCCTTTTTTGGACGTCCCATTAGAAGGTTCTCATTTCCATTTTAGGAAACAATCAACAATCTTAAGTGACAAATTAGTCATTAAATATTAAAAATAATACATTTATAACATCACAGTTATTAATACTAACACATTATAATATATACCTATTAAAATAATTTCTCAAAATATACTCGAAGTACTTTATTTAATTATCACCTAAATAACCGTACCATTTTGCTATGGGAACCTTCTAACGGGATGGGGATGGAGGTAGTATTGCTTTGATTTAGGATGTTTTTACTTGGACTGTAATTTGCCCCAGACCAGACCAGACCAGACCAGTCTAGACCAGACCAGACCAGTTCAGACCAGACCAGACCAGACCAGACTTGGATAGTTATAAAAATACAAAGAAACCAGACCTTACCAGACCAGACCAGACCAGTTCAGACCAGACCAGACCAGATCAGACCAGACCAGCAAATTACAGTCCAAGTAAAAACATCCTTAGTTCTAACTAACGAACACTTGCCAAAAAAGGTAAAGTGATGGCAGACTGTAAAGTCTTTTTACAAACTGAAATAACAAAATAAAGTGTGCAATTTGATTAGAAACGAATTATTCAATTCCGGCAAATGCATGCATGTATAGCGGAACCATTAATTTGAGTTTGCGTCTCACTTTTTGGATGATATTGGACTTTGCATCCTAATTTGAAAAAAAATTGATTTTGTACCCAACACATAATACTTTGTGAAGAAATTTTTCTAAATGAGGTGCGAAGTCAAAGGGTTTTTAAGTGGAATAGGGTTCAAAGTCAAAGTGTTTTCAAAATGGGGTGCAAAGTCCAATATCATCCTAAAAATGGGGTGCAAACTGCAAAGTCATATTCCCCCAAAAACAAACGTCATTTATTTTTTCAATTTTTTAATTAGTGCACATTTTTTCATTGAGAAAAAATATAATAGGTAGGTCCGATCGGAGCAATCTAATAGGTAAATGAATAAATATGACTATAGGGTTCATCTCTTAAAAACAAAACAAGTATATTTTATCTTTCTATTCTACTTTACCACAACTTAATAGAAAAGTCTATTTTAATTTGTAATAAAAAACATAAAAATAAAACAAAATTGATTTATAAGATTCCATACAATCATAAAAAAATATGGAGTAAAGAAACTCAAAAATATTTTTAAAAATATTAAAAATAGTACACCGTAAAAACAAAAAAAAAAATTAAAAAAAAAAGAAATTTAAAAATAAATAAATAAATAAATAAATAAATAAATAAATAAAAAATATAAATCACACATGGAGTAAAAATGGAGGCATTTCCCACAACCTCGTAACAACGTCGCCTTCGATCGGCGAAAACATGCAATTTTATGTTAAAAATGTCACTTTCTTCTCAAAATGCCATGAAGATATATAACATTTTTAGTCTTTGAAAATACCAATGGTTTCTCTATAAATGCCATCAGGATGGCGTTACTGACACATGTTGGCATTTTTCCCGGGGTCGGAGCTGGTGGTGCTGTGAGGTTGTTGTGGCAGATTGGCAGCATAAGAGGTTTGCATATTTATTTTTATTTTTATAATGTTTTTTTATTTTTTATTTTATTTTTTAAGTTTTTTTATTTTATACTCCGTGATTTTTTGTTTTTCAATTTTTTTACTCCATCCGTACGTCCCAAAAAGATTGGCTAATTTAACTTTTCGGAAAGATTTTAGGTAATTTAACTTTTAGATAATAATTTTAGGTATGATATTTGTGTGTAATTTATAAATATTATACTTTTAGGAAAAAATTTTAATAAAGAATATGGTCATATAATTTTCATGTTTTAAATAATTTTGTATTGAAAAATATCATTAATCAAACTTGACAACTATTGATCAAGAAAAGTCAATTTGGTCAATCTTTTTGGGACGGAGAGAGTATTACTTTAATTTAAAGACCATAGTATTTATTTTATGGATTGTAATAAAAAATCAGCAAGGGTAAAATTAGAAAGGTACTCATACATTGAGAATTTTTAATTTAACTCATATACTCCCTCCGTCCCAAATGAGAGTCTCATTTCTTTTGGGCACAAATTTTAATAAAGTGTTTGAAAATGTAAAAGTTGTGGTTGAGATTTGAGTAGAAAAAAAGTGAAATGATGAGGACCACATCTTTCTTTCCAAAAAGAGAAACAAGATCATGGATATCCCAAAAAGGAAATACGGAATCATCATTTTGGGACAGAGGAAGTACTAGCTACTTGCAATTAAATTAAAGTTTCATTGAGTCATGAGAATTTCCCCATTTACATATTTAGTTCACTTCAATTTATTAATGAAACATAGTATAACTACACTTCAATATAGTCTAATCCAGATTCCTAAATCCAGATTAGTCAACACCTACAGGCTACAACTCTTTTGGATCGAAATTCTTATACTTAGTTATTAAGGGTGCCAGTTTTCTGTATGCTTAATTATGCATGCATGCATATACTAGCTAGTAATATGTACTCCGCAGTCAGGGGAGGATCTATGTTAGGGCTATGGTGGGCTGAAGCCCAGGGTAAAATCAAAAAAGAAAATTTGTTTAAGGTATTATTTTTAAAAAATTCCATCTAACCCACTCCAAATTTTTCTATAGCCTAGTCCAATTTTTCAGCCCAGTCCATAAAACAAAATCATACCATTTAAAATTCAAAAAAATATACTCTGTAACCTAAATGTTATACGCATCACGGCAGGACCGACCCAGTGGGAAGGCAACTAGTGCAATGGCACAGGGTCTCAAGAAATAGAAGGCACAAAAACATTTGTAGTATTAATTAGGTAGCCCACTAGCCCAAATTCAATAAAAATAGGCTAATAGCCATGTGATGAAGCGGCCAAGTCTTCGCCATTTTACCCTTCGTCGTCGATATCGCGATTTCCGCAAGGCAACTATCTGCATCAGCCAAATTTGACAAAGCCATTCAATCATTGTCGAGTCGCCGACCACTCCATGACCCAAGCGTCAACATCCGTTCGTGACTCCGTGTAGGTCCTCCAGTCAAACAACAGTTGAGCACCATTATCACTTTCATGTTTTCAACGATGCAATAGACTTTGTATTGATGGAGTTAAGGACCCAGATTAAGGATAAATCAGTAGAATTGTATTCTCTGAGTGCTTCATTGGATCCCATAAAATCATATGAGTCATTCAATGCCATGCTATTTGTACTCTTGCAAGGAAGTTCTATCTTGAAGATTTTAGTAGTCAGGATATTCGTGCTTTGGAATTGGATCGATTGGAGCTGCAACACTATGTTCATGATGTGATTCCTAATACAAAGTTTCAAGTATCTACACTTGTTGAACCATGTGAAGAGTTGACTAAGAGAAGAAGATCTAATTCATATGTTATGAGGAGCAGATTGATTCCTCTTGTCATTTTCTGTTACGAAACTTCTAAAGACAACACTCCGCAACAAAATGACGGATGACTTTCTTGCAGATTGCATGACACTTTATATTGAAAGAGACCTTACTTTTAGTATAGATGTAAACTCTATTCTAGATGATTTTTTTTTCAAAGCCTCATCGAGGACAAATTTAATGGATAACTCTTATATTTGATTTTCGGCTTATTTTGAAAATTTTCAATGTATTATCATTTATGTGTTTCAGCCCACCCCAACATAAAATCCTGGATCCGCCCCTGTCCGCAGTATACATTAGAAAATGTGTTAGCGTGTTACTTAATACTCCGTATGATTTACTACCGGAATTTGATAAAATAAGTGCACTTTTTTTTCCGGCCCTCGCTTCTAAAATAAAATACTACGTATTTAATTTGTATGACCAGCTAAAAAATGAATATATACTCCATGTATGATTAAATACCTGGAAATCCTTGTTTATGATCATGCCAATGGCACATAAAACTGTAGAGGAGAAACACATGACAATCTGGATCTCCAAAACCAATGTGTACGTGATCGCCTGCTTCGCCTGCTTGTACACCAACTCGATTGCTGGCAGAATGAACCCGTACAAACTTGCCGCAAGAATCGTCATTATGAACCCAATAAGATACTCTTTTCCGGACTCGCCGGCCGGCCGGTCGCTACTCGCCCCGAAGGCAAGAACTCCGGCGCCCATGGTCAGCAACACGATGGCGTTAACCGAGAAGGGAGTGAACCTCTGCTTCACGAGGAGGTAAGCGAAGCAGGCGGTGAATGCGAGCTGCGTGGCGATGAGGAGGGCAGAGGTCGAAATCGGGAGCTTTGCCACGCCGGAGGCGTAGAGAAAGCTCTCGAGTCCGTTGATGGCTCCGACGATGGACGTGGCCACGAAAATCTTCGGGGTCATGAAGAAGAGCTTTGCACCCGTGCCCTCGGATTTGCGTCGCATGCAGTATGCGGCGGCGAGAGGGAGGAGGGTGAGGGGCCAGGCGGCTGTGAGGAGGGAACTGGAGAACCATATCCGCGTTCCGCCCCGGACGAAATAGAGGCGGGTCATTAGTGGCCCGCCGCAATTTCCTATGCTTAAAATGAAACCATTAATCAATAGAAGGATGAGCCCCTTCCCCTTCCACTTATTAGTACTAGTATTAGTCCTAATAGCATGCTTAGCTACTGTAATATCCATTCTATTATATATACAACTAACGCAAGTATTAATATGCACTTTCAGTTTTGATTGTACAGCTTGTTCTATATGCCATGCCAGTATATATAAGCTTAGCTAAGCTTCAACTCAGGCAATCATATTTAATTATATATTTATACCTTATGCTTGATACGTGGCCTCTATTTAAAGTCCATCCATGATTTGCACAATTTTGTTTGTTTCAAGAAGTTAAACTTCATGGGAAATATATGAACCAAACTACTAAGCTTTGGTATGAGATTCTGGAATTAAAACATAACTTTGAACAAATTAAATAGTGAACATTACCGCGCCAACCAGATATTATTCTTTCAGTTAATTGAAAATGCATTATTTTGGCGGCCAGAAAGTAAGATCATAATTTACTTCTTAAACATGGAGGAATCACAAGTCATCAAGCAAAGACTGTTTCTAATCGGATGTTAGGAGTATGATGAGGTGTACTATGGGAAACTATTCAAAGACCAAATTAAGGTTAATTAATTATGTTTCGTAGGTGTACTGTGAGTGTTCTGTGTAAGCAACCCTCTAATTTAATTAATTAAACCAGCATTAGTTACGAATTACGGAGTATATTATTATGTTTGATTTGATTTCAAGTTTTAAATCATAATTGAATGATCGGCTCGGTTTATTGAAAAAGATAATGAATCATGAGAGAATTCCCTAAATGGGAGTAAAAACGTTATGAAATTCCAAAGTATGACTATCAAGTTTTTTATTCCCTGAATAAGAGTAAATTTCTACCAAGTTTGGCATTACTAGGCTTTAAACATGGCATTTTTTCTAGACTTGACAGATTACTACTTTTCAGGGAATTAAAAACATGAAAGTCCATTTTGGAATTTCAAAACATTTTTACTCTTATTTAGGGCAATTTCCGATGAATCATTTGAAAATTTGTCAATTTTATCATCTTTAATTTCGTTGGGTTTTTGCCACTTTTGATCTCTTGATTATTTTGTTAGTGACACATTTTGTGCGACTTTCAATTTTTTCATTTTTAATCCTTAACTATTGTGCAATAGACACTTTTAGTATCAGACTTCATAGTTTACCACATTCAGTCCTCTAAGTATTATCAAATTGATATTTTAATCCTTCCACTATGATATTGACACAATAAGTGAATGACTAAAACTTTCACTATTATAATAGTCGAAGGACCCAAAGTGTCAGTCTTATGAAAGTTGAAAGACTAAATATGGAAATATTTTAAAATGGTTACCAAAGTATTTTTCACACAGTAGTCAAATAACTAAAAGTGGAAAATTTCAAATTTGAGTACCAAAAGTAGTGTCCGTGATATAGTAGTCGAAGGACTAAAATTGACAAAAACTCTTTTCTGATTCTAACATTTATTTTGAAAACTCAAAGGACTAACTTATATAACGCATGGGGTCCAAGTCTTGCAGTATCCGCCCCGCCCCGACCCATTGTCATGCCTAGTTGAAAGTATGCATCACAATATTGATCATTATTCATCGTCAATTGCATACATGATAGTAAAGTTTTTAAATGTATTTTCAACCTGCACGCTTTGCTTTCACACGTTCCAATTCTTCTACATAACTTTGAAATTAAATTAAATGAATCCATATGTTATAACACTTTTTAGTAAAGACCAATTATTGTAAGAAAGTTATAGTTGTAATGAACACTAAAATTTAAGATTAATAAAATATGGTGTAGTAAAATCATAAATTGTGGCTAATCCGATCCAATTTATAAGATTTCCTTAAATATATCAAATGCTTATTGATGTGAGTGAATTTTACACGTATGTAAAATTTTAGGTTAGTTTATGAGATTTTAAACATATTACTACCTCCGTCCCGAATTGATTTGCAAATTTGACTTTTCTTGGTCAAATAGTTGTGTTTTGTTCATTTAATTAGGATGCCAATTTTTAATTATATTCTAATTTGAAATTTACAACTTTGAAGAGATTTTGATGTAGTTTATGAATATGTAAATTTTATTTATTAAAAATTAAATTAATAATGCATAAGGAGGATTGACTTTTATTATGGGTTGACCAGAAAATGTTGACTTTGCAAAACAAATTGGGACGGAGGGAGTAGTTCTTAAATTTTATTACTAACTTTAATATTTACTTTCCAACATAAATCTTGATGGATACTGTACCCGGGGGTAGCTTATCTGAGGGATACCACGAGGGATATCTACAGAGAAGTCAGAGCAACAAGTAAGAGACAGTGAGAATGTATAAAATGAACTCGTTCTGTCTTACAAAGGAATAAGGGGCACTATTTATAGTAGTCATAAATTCTAGACGCATTAAATGCGAGTACACGTGTCAAGTAATCAATGGTGGAGGGTCACTTCAGCCGCGCTGGCGCCGACATTGCATGTGGCACCGCATTAAATGCGGTGGTTGGACGTGACATCGCATTCAATGCGGTGGTTGTCTGTCTTCAGAGGGAATCTTTGCTGAGTGGAGACCTTTCGATGTGTGTACCGAAAGCACCCTTAGGCCGAAGGCTATTGTTTTAGCCATAATCTCCTAGCAACTTTGTGGGTCCAGGAGCAATTGTCTCCTGGTTTTTCATGCCTTCGGCCATGACGCCGAAGGCACCATTATGTGTATCATGGGCTCCTTTGAGCTTGGGCCGCCGTATCTGGACTTCATGTGCTTGCTGGGTTTATTGGGCCTGTTTAAGGGAAGTATGCGTATGTGGGCCGGGGGTCTCTGGGTCATATACTCTATCAAATCCATTAAGAGTCTACTTGTTAATTAATATTTTTAACTTATCAGTATTATTCTTCATTTTTTATCAAACATATAACTTTTAGTTTTGCACGGTGAATTATATAATAATCAACATAAGTGAGTTTTAAGTTATTTTTGTGATTGAATTGATTGAACTTAGAATTTTATAAGATTTTTTCTTTAATATAATTAAAAATATTTTAAATATAATTTTTTCTTTAATTAGAATTTCATTAGTTTCAAATCTTCAATACGTTCAATCCATTTTACCGATTTGAAGGTTAGTAAATGGATTCTAAAAAAGGCCCAAAGTGTGTTCGTGTCCAATTAGAAAATCAGCCTAAGATGGGGAATAACGTAATCTCACTTCCGCTTGTATTTGTACCGTCTCTCTCTACCGCTCATCTCTCTTCAAGACGGTCATACTGCTCTCTTCGTTTCCAGCTCCTCCTCACCTTGGGTTGGACGAAGTCTAACCACGCCGTTCGTCTAATATCCTGAGGTTCGTGGATTATTACTAACTGTCTTCTTATTTTGTTTGTTCTTACATATGTTCAAATCTTCTTATATCTTATCAGCAGCGAATAGATCAAGTTAGAGGGTGTTTTTGAGGTTCGTTCTTCCTCTGTTCTTTTATTTAAACGATGAATAATCTTCTAAATCAAGGAGTTGTAATGAGCTGTAATTCAATGACCAGCGAATACGCTGGCAGTGTTGCCTTCGTACGGACGAGAGCCAAAATTCCGCAGTGAATACGCTGGCAGTGTTGTTACAGTGACTTCATCATTGTCACGCGGGAACAGTTTTCCCAGGCGGTATAGCTTTTATATATATACAGATGTAATTTAAGTGCTTACTTAGTTCTGATCCATATAATTGATATTGTATTTTTTATATTTTCTGTGTATATTTTGTAGGATTTGGTTCTGATTGGCGTCTTCCAAGATGGGTCTGACAGACATTCTACCGCCAGTAAAATCAAATAGCAGTGAGAAATATGATCACTCAAATGACCCATGGTTTAAGAACAGGTACAGTGCCCCTGAGGCAGAAATAGTTGCAGTTATCAAGGCAAAACCAGTTCCCCCTTATTTGAAAAGGGCTGGGTTTAGGCCATCTAAGCTTGAGGATTTTGGGGATGGAGGTGCCTTCCCAGAAATCCATTACGCGCAGTATCCTCTTGATATGGGGAGAAAAAAGGACCGCAACCCTGCAAGCAAGACATTACCTCTTACGGTTGATGAACATGGTGATGTCAGGTATGATGCCATTGTGAGGCAAAACGAGAACTCAAAGAAAATTGTGTATTCTCAGCATACTGATCTCATTCCCAAAGTACTGAAAGATGAAATTGATGACAAAGAGATGGATAGTGATGAGAAGCAGAAGGTAATTGAGGACACTGCCATGGAGACAAAAGCTGCACTTGAGAAAATAGTTAATGTTAGGCTGAGTGCGGCACAGCCCAAGAATGTTCCCACACAGTCCTCAGACTCAAAGTATATCAAATACAAACCATCCCAACAGTCAGCTGCTTTTAACTCAGGTGCAAAGGAGAGGATCATTAGGATGGTGGAGATGCCTGTTGACCCATTAGAGCCACCAAAGTTCAAACACAAAAGGGTTCCAAAGGCTTCTGGCTCTCCTCCTGTGCCTGTCATGCATTCTCCACCCCGTCCTGTCACTGTCAAGGACCAACAAGACTGGAAGATACCTCCTTGTATTTCCAACTGGAAAAATCCAAAAGGTTATACGATTCCACTCGACAAGCGTCTTGCTGCTGATGGTAGGGGACTTCAGGAGGTCCAGATCAATGACAACTTTGCCAAGCTGTCAGAGGCTTTGTATGTCGCTGAACAGAAGGCCAGAGAAGCAGTTGCCATGCGATCTAAGGTGCAGAGGGAGATGATGATGAAGGAGAAAGAAAGAAAGGAGATTGAACTTCGTGAGTTGGCCCGGAAGGCAAGGTCTGAAAGAACTGGTGGTGGGGGTGGTGTTGCACCGCCACCTCCTCCACCTGCACCTGCTGCTGTGCCTTCTGGAATTAGTGTGGATGATGATTATGAGCATCAGCACGCACCGCCTAAAGAGAGCCGAGAGGAAAAAGAAGAGAGAATGAAGAGAGAGAAGATCCGTGAAGAGAGACGCCGGGAGAGGGAGAGGGAGCGAAGGTTGGAGGCTAAAGATGCTGCAATGGGGAAGAAAAGTAAGATCACTCGGGACAGAGATCGTGATGTCAGTGAGAAGATGGCTCTTGGCATGGCTTCCACGGCAAGAGGAGGAGAGGTGATGTACGACCAGAGGTTATTTAATCAGGAGAAGGGGATGGACTCTGGATTTGCCACTGATGATGCATATAATATTTATGACAAGGGTCTCTTCACTGCCCAACCTACCCTCTCCACTCTTTACAAACCAAAGAAAGACGCAGATGCTGAGATGTATGGTGGTGAGGATGAACAAATGGATAAGATTCTGAAGACTGAACGGTTTAAACCTGACAAGGGATTCACTGGAACTTCTGAGAGAACTGGTCCACGAGATAGACCACTAGAGTTTGAAAAGAAGGAGGCTGAGGAGGCTGATCCGTTTGGGTTGGACCAGTTCTTGACTGAGGTGAAGAAGGGCAAGAAAGCCATGGACAGGGTGGGCAGTGGAGGTACCATGAAGGCCAGTGGGGGCTCCTCACGAGATGATGGCTATGACAGAGGAGGATCTGGCAGAACAAGGGTTAACTTCGAGAGGGGGCATTGAACATGCATTTGTCATTGCAACAGTTTGGGTAGATTAGGTTGCCAAACCTTCTTTTTATGTGATTTAGTTTTAGTAGGTGAGCTAAGATTAAAGATGTTTTTTTTCACTTGATGCTCTGCTGTTGTGTAAACATATATGCATTGCCTTCTTTATAAGAACCATACCTCTGGTTACTCAATAGTGTTATGTTTACATTGCCTTAAGCTTGTAGTTTACATTAAAAACTGAACTGATTTGTTTGTTCTCTTCTGACATCATAAATGCACTACGGAGAATGTTTCACAGAGGTTCATGCAGCTCGCTTCGTCATTTCAAGGCTTGTCATTTTTTGTTAATGTGTGACCAAAGCAATTTGTGTCTAAGTAACCAATGTAACGAATGTTGTTGTTGTAACTAATTTTGTGGATCAAGTTTGTGTCATATTTCAATTTTGTTGTTCGGCTTACTATAACCTCTAGTGTAAGTTCTCGGAATCTAGGTATGTTAATTTTAATTCTTAATAGTTAATACTAATATAATTATTCTCAGGAGTGAGTTAACTTTGTCATCCAATTCGGAAGATGAAGCTGACAAACCATTTGAGGTGAATGTAGCAGGAATTTGTATTACAATGTGCTAAGAAAGTTTGTATTAGATTTTGATGCTTTTCATGTATTGCTTGGGATGTTTGTCTATACCATGTCTTGTGTTAGAATTGAAGTTCAAACATGTTTCTCAGCTAAGGAGAAAGGGGATGACAAATCAGAATCGAGTTTGTTCCGACATGAACTTCACAATCACCACTTTTTTTTGAGGGAAGCCTAAAGATGACTATGGAAAGGTTACTGGCTAGGAGTAGAAGAGTCTGATCTTGGGGGAGGGAGGGCATTTGGCTTTGTTCTTTTTTCTAATAGGAATACCATAACCTTGTAGGAATCCCACAGCCGCCACAGGCACACCTACATCTGTGTTGGCCGCCTTTTAGAACGCTCCTCAAAATATTCATTTCAGTAAATGACCAAATAATCAAATCAGGATCTAGCCTCTAGGGCCACAAATGGTAGTCATTGACCCGGGCCGGGCCTAGTCCCGGTCGGGCCTCGGGTTTTTTGAAGGAGGCCCGGGACCAGCCCGGGTAGCCACCGGATCCGGGCCGGGCCTCGGGTCAATTTTTTTCCTTTTCCTAATTACCCCCCCCCCCCCCCCCCCGCACCCCCAACCCCCCAAACCACCCCAAGATACCCAGCCCAACCCGAAAAGATAAAAAAATGGGGAAAAAAAATTAAAAAACCCGGAACCGGGCCGGAACCGGCCGGGCCAGTTCGGCTTTTGGGTGACCCGAGCCCGCTCCAGGAACCCCCGGGCCGGGTCTACCCGGACCGGTCACTGGCCGGGCCACTGTGCCGGGCCAGTTCAGCACAGTACCGACCCCGGGCCGGTTCCGGGTCGGGCCACCCAGCCTGAGTCCATGACTGAGATTGGCTGCATGGGTGTGAACAGGGGTGGATGGTGTAGTGTTTAAGGGTATGCACTTGAAGACCCAAAAATTTGAAAAAATTTTAATCAAAAAATTTGAAAAAAAATTTAAATAATGACACACAATAAGGTATAATATGTAACTGAGTATGTATTGAACAATGTTCTTGAGTAGCGTAGTCTGATGGCTTGTGCCTTTACATACAGGATTTTTGTGGGATCGATTCCCAAGGATGTGGGAATTTTTGTTTTTGAGAATGTTTCTTCTTTCCCATTCTATCTTTTCACACACCTGTAAATGAATAGCTTCGTGCTCCAAAAATCTCAATGTAATGAAGGCTAAGATACATTTAAGTATCTATGAATGTCGTTGGGCTTATGGGGCTCAAGTATTCGGCAAGTTCCAATGGGCTTTTAGATATTGAGTTCAAGTTTTATATATTAAATTCAGTTGGTTTCTTTCGGTTTTGGATAAGCCGAACGTTTCAGGTTAACCGAACCGAAAAATCGGGTACCAAAAATTGGTACCCGTTTTTATAATAACGGTTTGGTTTCTGTTGTCGTATATTGGTGAATCGAAATACCGGGTCGGTTCGGGGATATACTGAATTGGTTCGGGACCCAAACCGAACCCAGCCCTGGTTTTTTAATTGATAAAAATACAATTGTTGAATTATAGCATTAGATATGATTATTGTGATACTTTTAAATGTGATACTTTTAACTTTACTTTAGTTTCGAACAGGATGGGTGTGAACTGTTCGTACTTGGCTTGTTCAAAAAGCTATAGTTCATGTCATTTCTGAAGCTGAGCTCCACCATATGCACTGGTCATCTAATCATCATATTCTCAAAATTTATATAATGCTATAATTATTCATAAACAGAATATACGCGTGTAAATTTTTCCCACAGTGACCAAGATTATGTTAAAAATAATAGTAATTTTATTTTTATTTACTGAAATAACAAAGTATTTGGAAATTCTTGCTTTAACTTGGATGCATGATAAGATAGATGCAATTTTAGATATCTTATACTCCATGTGAAATACCATTTATGTTTATACAGCTGTGGTTGAAATTGATGTAAAAAAAAATTCAACTCCTGTGAATTAAAAGAGTATATGGAGAATTGATGAAGCCTGTTTATCCATGGCCAATTACATTTTCGAGTTGCCAGTCCCTGAGAGGCCTAATGGTGTTTCTTTCCAGGGAGGCATATATCCTTTTTTATTTCCTGGAAGGGATATAATAATATATGTTTTCTTTTCTAACTCCAGGCAACAGATATGATGATATGAGTACGGGATATGGCATTCCACAGGAACAAGCTAAATAAAATATTGTCACGAGCCAAGGGAAGACCTTTGAGTGCAATTTTGTTCACCCCCTCCTTGGAGGGTGACCATAACCCCCCTCCCTATTTGCTTGCCATGTGGCAAAAAAAGAAATGAAATGCCAAATGGCAACATTTGAGCTATGGGGGTTATGGTCACCCTCCAAGGAGGGGGTGAACAAAATTGCACTCAAGACCTTTGCAGGAGGTAGCTAGTTACCAAGGACCCGGGGTGTCTACCATACCCAATTGTAAGGTACTCTGCCTTACCTTTTGGACCGTCGATCTTTATTTTTTGGACAGTTAGGATGAATTTAGTTTTTCATCTTTACAATTTATACCTTAATTAATATCTGTCCGCTTTTGGATCTACACTGCCTTTACTTCTTGAAACTACCGTCCTTTATCTTTACTCTGCAACATCCATCCACTTACTCATCTTCCATCTAAAATCATCAAAATTCATGTCCTAATTTCAGCTACTCCACAATATAATACATCTCCACACTCAATTTCCTGCCGCCTCATCACAAGATATACAAGGTAAGCATGACTAAAATATTCAATTTTATGACTATTTACAAATTTAATCCGGATTATTCTAATTCTTACTGTTTGTTGGGAGATTTTCCTTAAGAAAATGGGGATCTTATTTCTACCCATGAATTTGAAGAGAATTACTCATTTTTAGAGGAATTTATGTTTTATGACTGAAATTGCAATGAAGGATAACTGTTTCCTTAGTCTGCAAATGCCGTTTTTTTGCTCCAGTGTATATCACACGTTTAACTTCAGTAACACACCAATTAATTTGTGGAGTACTTCTTTTAACTTTTGAGAAGAAAATGTCTTTGAAGGATATGATGAATTTTTTATATTTTAGCTTCTCTATACAAAGAAAGAATACAGAAAAGGAATAATATTTCAGAAGATAGCTTATTAAATAACAGATCATACAATTATTACATAGATAGCTTATTAGCAATAACAATTCATACAATATAATAATACATAAAAATCAATTTATAATCACATACAAAAACTTACAATAATACAAAAACGATGGATTCTTCACAATTACTTGACTGTTTTAGAATACATAGAGATGGAAATGTTGCTACTGCAACATAAATAGCAGATACTACTCATTACAATACAAAGATCAAATATCAGTAACGTGCAAGTCTTGTAATGATATCGAGTGATAGTCAATTGGTGCCTGCAATACATCAATAGTATAAACTTATAATTACCAGTCTTAAAAAGATTAAATTGTAGTGAAAAAACTAACCATTAGCAACTGAGTAAAACTAATTTCAGGAGGAGGCCCTGTCTTTGTGGAGCAAGATATTCCAATATGTGATTTCTGTTATTCACACAAATATAAAAATGAGACAAATCTATATGAAAAGTTGATAATAACAAATAAATTTGCTTACTTTAGTTGATGCGACTTTTTTCTTCCTCTTTTTATTTGCTTCAAGACAACTCTTATGACGCCTTTTGTTGTTTGCGCCAAATTTTTGCTTGAACCCCGCTATTGTTTGGGTGCATTGAGGTGTGGAAATGACATTAACATCAACATTACCACTCGGGCTTGAACAATTTTTTGTCAAATGAAGGTCCATGAGTCGCCGTTCTAAATCAGACATTACGGTCAACATCATGGCAGTACCTTCCTTAGACTTGCTTGCCTCGGAAGATATACGTATAGAGGTGCGACTCATATCTCTAAATCGTTGTGTAGCTTGTATCTTAGGATCCTCCTCTATATCATTTGTTGTTGCATCGTATGTTGCATGAGCTCTTCCTTTGTTCGTCCACCTAGACATGATATACTTGCTAGGGAGAAGTTTTACATTGTTAATATCATAGATCTTTAGGGCATGGCAGCAAACAATTCCAATATGTTCAAACTTTTTACACGAACATGCTACTGTGTGGTCACTAGCATCGAACGATAGATTATACACCTCCTCTTGATCAACCATAGACACAACATAATGCTTAAATCCGTTATTATCATCCACGTTGTTGATAATAACTTGATCTCTTTCATCATATTCATCTTGAAATAAATCAAAAACAGTTGGTGTGTATTGCTCAGAAAGCTGTTTTGGTGAATGTAATTAGCCTTGGTATTACTCAGACTCCTAGTTCTAGTTGTGGATTGAAATGTAGTTAGCCTTGGTGAATAAACTACACGCCAAGGTCCTGACTAAGTCCAAAGCCATGTTCAACGTCAACTATCATATGATTCATATGTAGAGACCACACATGAAGAGAGTAATTTGAATCCCTGAGAATCAATCTGACTTGAAGTCATATTTGGTCTTCAAGGCCATAACATAACACTTTTCAATAAATCAACCAAACTACCAATACTAAAAGAACTAGGGGTGGGCAAAAATACCGAAATATCGGTATACCGCACTTACCGTACCGAAAAATACCGGAAAATACCGAAATATTGGTATACCGTCATTTTCGGTACGGTATCATACCGTACCGGTCTATTTCGGTACGGTAACGGTAAATGTTTTCAAATACCGCGGTATACCGGTATAATACCGTACCGACTCCCTACTCAACAATTACTTTTAATTCTAATATATTGAAGAAATCCATTACAATTTTGAAGCCCAAAATTAATACTTAAGTTGGTTACAAATACAAAAATACAAAAATAAAGGTCCAATTTCTCAAACCCACTATAACCTTATAGGCTTCTACTACGCTAACCTTAAATGACTAATGAGTAATGTACAAATGTCAAGAAACAAGTCCATCTTGTTCCAAGAGCTTTCAAGTCGTGATGGTTGGGCCGCTAAGTAGCTGACGAGTGAAGATAGATACACTTATGTGACAAGTGTATCTACATAGGGATTCAGCGAGTCGAGACACACAACTTTGTCCGAAAGTCTTATTCATTTTTTAAAAAATTATAAAAATGACTAAATACACAATATCATATTAAGAATAAATGATTTTATATCCATGTTGTTTGAATAGTTTTATTTATTTTTGTTAGAGATCACTATTGATTTAATTATATCTATATTGTTCAAGTTATTTTACGAGAATGTGTTACTTTTTAATATGTGGTATGTTGAACTGCTTAAATATACTAATAATAATTATTGTTCAATATTGAATTGACATCAATAATTATTAATTGTATTTCGTAACATTTTAATAATAGATTTAATATGTCGCTAGTAATAACGATTTAGTATATTTCGTTAGTCTATGATAATTTTTTGTATTGAGAGACATGCATGATAATTTACCGATACCGTACCGTTACCGAACCGAAACTTCGGTATACCGAAATGCGGTATACCGAAACTTCGGTAAGGTAAAGGTATGCAAATTTTGCATACCGAATGTTTTGGTATGGCAAAGGTATGAGAAAAAATATAAGGTATACCGTACCGAACCACCCCTAAAAAGAACCCCAACATAAAGTGTACACTGACAAAATAAAAGTGATATAATGAAACGAGAATGATAAATTATATTATTAAATGCTAGTCATCTTCAAATGACTCGTCTAAGACACGACCTCGATCCAAACACAAAGCAACAATGATATTCTTTTACATCTGTAGACCTAAAACCTATTTTGCGATGATATCCTCCCCATGAACGTTCTAAGTTTAATTTCATCTTACTAGACAAAATGATGTTTAAAGAGGGAAGAGAGTGATTGTGGGAAGAGAAATGAAAAGCATCATGAAATGAATCATGAAATGAATATGAGAACAAGATCCAAGATCAATGGTACTTGCACTCCATGCATCCAAGTGTTTGGTTGAATCCGCCAAATCTTCTATCGAAAGCCTCCCAAGAGCAATATGTATTCTTTTATACAATACATCTTGTTTATTTCAACAAAAAACAATTGGACTTTTAGTTTCTTAAAGACTAGTTAGTATTTACCCAAAAGTGTGTCACCATAAGTATTTATCAATTCAAAAAGCGTGTCACCATAAGCATTTACCAAAAACATTACCAATATGTATTCTTTTACAGAACCCCAAATCGACAAAATGTGTTCTTTCATATGAATTTCTTACACCGGAGGCGCCTGATGCTGGCGTGTAACTCGATCTCAACCCATTTCGTTAAGTAATACATCGCGACAATGACAAATTTCGGCTTTCAAACCAGGTTGGCAGTGGTCGAGCTAGGGCTGGATTCGGTCCGGGTCGGGTCCGGGCCGGGCCTAGGCCCGGGCGGGCCGCCGGTTCTGAATAGTTGGGCCCGGGACCGGCCCGGGTAGCTACCGGGTCCGGTCCGGGCCAGGCCTCAATTTTTTTTTTTTTTTTTTTTGCTTTCCTAAGTATCCCTGACTCCCCCTCCCCCCCCCCCCCAAACCCCTCCTAAACATCAAACCCAACCCGGGTGGAACCCAAAAAAATGAAAAAAAAAAACAATTTGGCCCGAACCGGGCCAAATTACAGTTGACCCGAAATAGAACTAAAACAGTTGAGTGCAATTCTAATACTTTATTCTACCTTCTTAAACTTCGATCCAAGTCAAACTGGAAAGAATTTTCTGGAACAGAGAGAGTACTAAGAAAATAATATTTTTGAAGATTCACAAAATCTATCAATATTATTTAGGGAAAGTTCCCGAAATAGAACTAAAACAGTTTGGAAATTCCAAAATAGGACTATCATGTTTTTTATTCCCAAAATAGGAGTAATTATTGCCAAGTTTGGAAAATACTGTCATGTTTGAAGTCTGGTACTACCAAATCATGACAGTAATTAATCCTACTTCCGGGAATAAAAACATTGCAGTCTTATTTTGGAATTTTCAAACATTTTTAGTCTTATTTCGAGTAATATCTCTATTACTTATAATTTCCCTTACTCCATACGTTACCACGTTTCTATAAATTAAAATTAATTATTAAATTCCACCAACAAATAATTGTTCTTAATTAATATTAATAATTTACCAAATAAGTTCAGGTTTTAACTTTTTATTAGGATCCAATGCTACCCCATTGCTAGATGAAAGCATCTAACCAATATTATAAATTTTTGGGGGGAATTACGTGAAAACATAAAGGGTAATTCTATCTACACTCACAAATTTTCTATCTACAACCATTTTTAAATTTAAAAAAAATTGAATGACTATGCACAAACACAGTATCCTTTACCTATTAGGCTATTATTACGTAATCACGTAATCATCCGGAGGCTTCCGTGGATGAAGGAATACTCTTCTTCTTATCGAGGAAGAAGATAATCAAGGTTTTTCTTGATGGAAATAATCAAACTCACTTAAAATGTTTCAAAGAATCATAATTGAAAAAATAAAGGAAAAATTGACAAGAATAATCTCACATTTCACTGATCTTCTCATAATAATCCCACCTTTACATAACCCCAGAATAATCTCACATTTTCACCTCACTTTCTTTCATTAGACCCTGACCATGTTTTTTACTTTTTCTTTGAAAATCATATATATAATCTTATCTTTCACTTTTTATTATATCTTTATAAATGTGAAATTATTTATATAGGATTATCAAATAAAGGTAAAAAACCTGATCAAGGTCCAATGAAATAAGATGATGTGCAAAAGTGGGATTATTTTAAGATTATGTAACGGTGAGATTATTATCAGAAGACCAGTGAAAGGTGGAATTATTCTTGGCAATTTTTCCAAAAATAAATGCATGTGGGAGAAAATGCATATCAAAAAGCTAAGTTTGATATTCTAAAAAGTAGTGATAAATGCATGTGGGAGACTATGAGAGGAGGAACCAAATCAATACGGAAGCTAAACTATATGAACTTGAATTTTATTTGAATAAGTAAATAAATTCAAATGATTAGTTGCTCATTTGCTCCACTATTGTGGTTGGAGATGAAGAGATACTCGACTGCTACATTATTGCAAAATGGTAAAATGTTGGGAAAATGGAAACTAATAATCCAACCTTTTAACAATTTTCTTGCAGTAGTTCCACATTTTTGTTATTCATGAATAATCTAACTTTTGCACATCATCTTCATTCACTGGTCCCTGACTGGTTGATGGTATGTTATTCCAAGTTATTTTCTTATCTTTGCAAAATATTATCTTTGTGAAAGGTGAGATTTATGGTATAATGGTTTGTAAAGATAAGAAAATAACTTGGAATATCAGGTCATCAACCAGTCAGGGACCAATGAATGAAGATGAGGTGCAAAGGTTGGATTATTCATGAATAACGAAAATGTGAGACTATTGTAAAAAGACCGCTAAAAGGTTGGATTATTAGTTTTCATTTTCCCTAAAATGTTTAGGGTAGTATAAATTTTCTTTTGGACGGTTTTCAATCCCAGACTAGACCAAATCAGACTTTCGTAATTATAAAATACACAGAAATCGGACAAACTCCAAACCATCAAATTTCAGTCCAAATGAAAACATGCAAAAAAAAAAAAAAGTCAATTAAATTAATAGTTAGATTTAAAAAAAAACTCAGGGCTGTGGGAAAAAAATCGGGGCTGTATATAGATTGTAGATCACCCAAAATATCTTGTTTGCTAAAAAATTACTCTTTTTTAGGATAATAGATAGATGTGTTTTTAACATGTCCTTTATTAGGCTGATTTTGAGCCCTAAATCAATATTTTTGTCCAGCCCACGAATTACAGAAGGGAGACGGAGACTCCAGTCTTCTCTCTTCAGCCCGACTTCCCCTGCTTGGCCTCACTCGGTCACCCTGCAATTCAGCGCTTCGGCCAATCGACCCTTCTCACTTTCAGGCATCACGCTTCAAGTACTCCTCCCACCTCCTCATTCCTTAACTCTTTTAGTCTTTGATTGATTATTTCATTGGTTCATTAATTCTGCAATTCCTAGGTGTTTAATGTTTGTAATTGAATGAATAGTTGATAAATAATTAGTTCATTTGTTGGCTGTTGAGTGTGGATATATTGTAACTATGATTCTACTTATTTAATTCAACGATAAATGATTGCATGAATTGTGGAGTACTGAAATTTAATTTTTTCTTTAATCTTTTATTCTGTAACTATGATTCTACTTATGTAATTCAACGAATTATAAAGGTCATTGCTTTATTATAATTTTTTTGTAAACTTATTATTTTACATCTTAGTTTAGATATAAAAAAAAAAGATTTTTCTATTTTTTGTTTTAGATTAGGCCTATTACAGAGACTCGCCCCTAGGCCCTGAAACATTTCAGGACCAGCACTGGTAACATGGAGTAGAAGGGCGGGTAGGAAAGCGCATTTATTGCTGAAATCAAATGAGCTAATTAGGCTTATTTAACGTTTGTCTTGCAAACTGCTGTTTTTAATTTGTTCATATACATTCACTGGGCTTTTGTGTTTATTTGGGTACCCTGGAGTAGGAGGCTGGGTAATAACCCTTACATATTACTGAGATTGAACAAGTGGGAGTAAAAAACTCAAATAAGTTATAGTAAAATTAAGTTTACTAAAATTTTCTTAGGTATCACTGAATTCTATTTCCTGAAATACTCTGTATATGTTAGTGGGTGGGTCAGGTCATTTAAACAGAAAATACGCTCAAAACATAAAAGGACATTGGCTATATCCATTTTGTGTATGTAGTTGTGAAGTATGTAAAAGACTAAAAGCTAGTGTAGATTAGTTGAATTGCATATACAACTAAATACTTCCTTCTTTCATCATTTGTTTGTGTATTTCTTGGTTCATGAAGTAGAAAATCATCTCTAGGTGTCCGTTCATTAAAACGGTTATCATGTACATGATTTTTTTTGTTGCTGTTGTTGCGGTTGGTAAATCTACTTTACCATGACACTTAGACGTGACAACACAGTTATTGAAAGTACTGAAAGAGTAATTTAATATTATTTCATTTCTCATGGATTAGCAACTCTTTTGGGCATTGATTTCCATCCTATAACTTCTAAAATTATAAGCTTTTCCGATTCTTTTTTCAGTAGAATAATTTTGGCATGCTGGGAAGAGTTTTGCAGTTTGCACGTTGTTCTAATTGCACTGTGTATTTTCATGAATCATCCCAATGAACTGCAATCTTTATCGTTTCACGCATTCTTAATTTAAGAATGATGATTTTCAACAGAACTGTTCCCTATCTCTGTCCACAGCGTGTATGTGTGTACGTGTGTTTCATCTGTTCACACTTTAAGAATGATGATTTCCAACAGAATTATTGCCTATGTATCTATCTGTCCGCTGTGTCTGTACGTGTGTGGCGCATACTCCGTAGTAGTTTTGTTCACATCTGAACGTTTCATTTACTTATATCATACGGGCTATGTTATTTTACTATCTTATATTTTACATATAACATTAACTTTTATGTTGTTCCTACACCTGTGCAACGCATAGTGAAGATATTAGTGTTTTGTGATTTATTAAAATAAATCATCATCATCGTTACCCCAGTGCCGCAAAGGTTCCCACCTACGGTGGAATAAGGGGGATCGGATGTACGTAGTCTTACCCTTATACTAAAGCACAGAGAAACGCAGGCAGTTTAGTAAGTCGTTTTTCTTTATTCCATCATATTCTCAAGCTGAAAAATAGTAAGTCTTTGGCTCCATTGCAAATGATGGATTTAAAAAAAACATGAACTGTATGTTAAAATATTTAAAACGAATGAAATTGTTTAAATATTTTCTAAAAGAAAAGTGCTTAGATATCACATGCCATATTACTTGTGTAAAAAGAGGGTTATGTAACGAAATTGTTCATCTTCACTGATTGGTAGCATTATCCAAATGCTAGAAAAATGTAAAAACGCATATATCTTCCATAACCTCTGCCACATCCTTTTACAATTAATGTAGATCCACTAGTTCACTACACTTTCCATAATAAATCACCTCTACTTTCATTAACTTACCCTAGATTCTCTGCACAGTAGACTCATGTGGATCTCTCTATAGTCATCCATCTACCTTTCGTTTGTGCCATTTGTTCCATTAACTTTCCACCACACATATCCATTTGCTTTAAAATGGTGTAATACCTCTAATGTTTCACTAAACATTACCAGTATTTTCTTTTACTTTTGTTTTGTTTAAATAATCATATAAATAGAAGTCAGATGTGTGATTTTATGGTACTATTTCATCGCATGCAACTTGAGAGTCTGATCCAAGTTGTCAATGCAAATTTGCATTAGGCAAATGAATTATAAGCATATTTGGTCATTCCACTATACAAAGGCTAGACGTGGCTTGAAAATCTGAATTAGATAATCTTGCTTCAGATCTGTTTTATTAGCTACTTCGTATATTAAAGGCTTACGGATTGGTTTTAAATGAATCTAACCAAATATAGTCTGATGCGGATTGCAGAAGCTTGAAGAGCCGATTGCAAGCTCTGATTCTGTGAAGCGAATTCACTGTCCAGCCTGGTGCAGCGTAATCAGTGGGAGAACTCCTGAAGCGCAGACTCTAAACCCAATATTCAAAGTTTTATACTACATATTTCTTATCAAACCCTAATACTTGAGTATGGATTCCACTGTTAAGAAATGTCAGCAGAGGTTCAGAAAATTGAAGGATGAGACTGATAGGTGGGAGGAGCTTCAAACTAGACTGCTTTCCCAATTTACTAATGCCTCATCCATCATCCAGAGGTTGCAGGTGATTCAAAATTCCCAAAACTATGGTGCATTGAAATGCATTCAAGGTATTGAAAATGCTGTATTGGCAAAACAGTTGGATTCTCTGCAAACAATTCTCTTTTCTATGAACAAGACACTGGAAGAATTTCATTCCATTGTTTTATCTTTAGAGAAGATTGTTCGTGTTTGTAGACAGCAAGTAAAATCTGGACTGGCCCAACCAACTATGAAACAGTTGCAGAAACGAATTGGCATCAAACCAAGTCTTGCAGATTGCTTAGATGGGCTTAGTATTCTTTGTGAGATGCACCGATCAGAGTACTGTCTTAAATCTTCCGTGTTATCTGCAACTTCAACAATTGCCTTTAAACCCAGTGTGGCTAATGATTTAAGTCTCTTCCAGCAGCTTTTGATAGATCAGCCTAATATCCCTAAAGATGAAGTACAATTTGTATTTGATGTCATTTTTGCTGAAGACATCTATTAATGCTTATAACTCTGGAGAGGTGCGAAACGTCTTGAGATTGGACCTCAAGCGAACGAGTTAGTGTCAAAATTAGCTTGAGCATTGACGGCACTAAAGTCTTTGTGTGCCTCAAAATAAAATCAAATACTCGCACTAATATGGTAGTATATTGTAGTAAGGTTCGTATTCATAAGGATTTTTAAGATTGTTTGAATTTAAAAATATTTTAACACTAATATGAATAAATTATGTGATTTAAGATGTTTTTACTTGGATTGAAATTTGCTGGTCTGGATTGAACTGGTCTAGTAAATGTTTGGTCTCTATATTTTATAATTATGAAAGTTTGGTCTGATTTGGTCTATTTAAATCTGATTTGATTTGTGACTGAAAACATTACAAATAAAAACATCCTTAATATCAATGAGAATAAGAACTTGGTTTTGTTAATTTCTACTTAATGAAATATTCGTTGATTCTGGTTCTAACCCATTTGGATTTTGGAACACTCAATCGTTGAGTATTTTCAATTCATCGATACATGTCATTAATAAAACTTACTACTTAGTCAAATAGAGAAAATGCCTTATATTGATTCAATAATAGCAATAAAATTTTAGATGAAATCAAATGAGATTGACAATATCAACCCAAGCGTTTATTCGGTTTAATAAATATAAATAATCTCTCTTTAGATCATTAACCATGAGACGCTTGCATTAGTAATCTAAATTAAAGTTACTACTGTTGAACGGATTAAGCGAATAAAAAAATGTATGCGTCGATCGATTTTAGTAATAATTAATATGAAACGCTCACTAAACTGTCTGCGCTTCTTTGTTATGAAGCAGCAGTCAGTCTATGCAATTTTGCACGCGTTTTCACTATGGGTCATCCGGAAACAGTCTCTCTGTGCTTTTGTATAAGGGTAAGACTGCGTACATCTGACCCTACCCCCCCCCCTTACCCCACCATAGGTGGGAGCCTTTGCGGCATTAGGGTAATGATGATGATTAACTAATTGAACATTTTGTAATGCTCAAATATCAATATAGAATATGAATAAGGAAGTAATTAATATTCAAAATAGGACGATTAAAAAAATAATTCACAACTTACAAAATCAAAAGAGTACCTGCCTAAATTACAAGAATACACTCTCTAGGATATATAGAAGGGATTGATCGGTATCTAAAATGAGAGGGAAAGATGTATTTTTATAAGAGAAATGAGGTGGTTGGGTTGGATATCCGACCGGGTATCCTAGGCACTAGCTCGAAAAATTGCTGAAATCGAGTCAAAATTGATCGGGTTTTAACTAAACTCAACCCGGTTTTGCACAAAATCAGATTTTCCCACATTCTCTTGCTTTGTTTGATCTTGTATGATCTCTGAATCAAACCATACCTGATCGAGTATTGGATATAGTCGAGCGAGTGTGTGACCGAATCATATTTTTCTTCCTTTTTGTCTCCCCTGAACCTTCCTTTTGTCTCCAACCTCCTTCCTTATACTCCCAAGCAATTTCCTCTTGCTTTTTCTAACATATTTCTTACTTATATGCCAAATATCCTAGTATCTTCTAATTCTAGTATAATTTTAGAAGACAGAGATTGCACCGTAATTGTACAAAAGATAAGTAAACAAAATGTAAAACCATTCTAAAATGTGTTTGGGGATAGGAATTCAATAAAATATAAATTACTTTTGCGCTTTCATCTCATTAATGAGTTATTCATTATCTTCTAAACAAACAAAAGCATTATGTTCTTGTTTTTACATTCTAGATTCTACTGATGTTGTTCAGTAAATTAGTGATTCTCAGTGAGAGAAAAAAACAGAAACACATTCATAACCATAACTATACAGTTGTTCTTAAATAAGTGTGTACAACTACCCATTTTGAGCATGTCTCAGGGAGTGTTTGCAAACACTACTCCAAAGCACTTTTGGCCTTTTTTCTCAAATAAGCCAAAAATGGTGTTTGCAAATGAGAAATTCTGCTTATTTTAAGCACTTCTAAGTCAAAAGTGGAAAGCAGCCTTGGGGGGTGCTTTTACTTGCTTCTAGGTTATTTGGTAAATATTTCAAAGTTTGAGGATAAATTTTATATCTAAATTATTGCTGATATCCTAAATTGCCCCCCGGACAAATCAATCTCCCCGATCCATCTTTCTTCTCCAGGCTCTCCATCTCCCCCATTTGATTTCTCCATCCATGTCGTGACCAAAGGGTTGGGAATATAAGGAAGCATTTGTTACGTTGATGAATCAAGGAGGTAGAGAAGATTAGAAGAAGTCGAGTGTGGAAGAAGAAATTAGCAAAGACCAGAGAAACAATCTCTTCCACCGTCGGCTCCCCGCTGCAACAGTAGACTCCCGTTCTCCTCCACCTACCCCAACAAGCAAAATCCGCCCAAGAAGGCGAGAACCTTTCATCCGCTAAAAATCGGCGCTATCCCGGCCACTGTTAATGTCGGCCGCTACACTCTGCCGTTGGGGGTTGAATCGCCGTCTGCCACAATGCCTCTCTCTGAAACAAGGCTTCCAATTGGGGTCTGAAATGAAGTTCCTACCCTATTTTCGGACTAATGTTTGAAGGGTATTTTTGAACTTTAACAAAATATTCCATTCAAAATCACTTTTTCTCAAACACTTCAACTTTTACCTTTTAATAAAATCACTTACATTCCCAAACACTACATACTTTTACTATAAATCACTATTCCAATAATCTCTTAAAAAATCACTTTTAAAAAACACAAACAATCACAAACACTCCTTTAATCTTGTGGTATTAGCACTACATTACGTTTTTTTATGCATGTTTCAGCCTATTTCAGGATCCCTGCTTTTTAATCTTTAATCAATATGGAGGATCTCCGTAACTTCAATTTGTATATTTATTCAAAACCATAGCGGAGAAACATTAGACCTTCTTTTCGGTTTTTATGGGTTTCGATTCGATTTGAAACGAGTTGAAAGAAGTATTATCAAACAAAAAATCATTTGAGTACTATTTTTCAGTTTGGTTCGTTTTGTTCAGTTTGAATCTTTGAATTTGTGTTTTTAAATAGAGAAAATTCCCAAAATTAGACAAAAACAGTTTGAAAATTCCAAAATAGGACTATCATGTTTTTTATTCCCAAAATAAGAGTAATTACTGCCAAGTTTTGAAAATACTGCCATGTTTGAAGTATGGTACTGCCAAAACATAACAGTAATTACTCATATTTTGGAAATAAAAACATGACAGTCCTATTTTAGAATTTTCATACCTTTTTAGTCTTATTTCGGGTAATATTCTCTTTTTGATAACATATGAAGGTTTTATTAATTTCAATCAAATTTACTTTGTAATTTTTATTGGTTTCGATTTGATTCGGTTCGATTTGATTTTGAAGAAATACTATCAAAATTAAACCCCAAATTGCATATGTTCCGATTTCAAATCAAACCCCAAATTGCATATGGTCCGATTTGAGTATCCACAAAAACAAATATTCTCACACCAGTTTTTATGAAGTGAACGTGTGTCCATGCTCGACAGTGGCAGACTGGCAGCATATAGTACCACCGTACCAGCCAACGATTCAAAAATATGGAGCCAACCGATCCTCTGCTAATCTCAAGTTCCAGAGGGAATCAGTCCCAAGAAGAAGAAGCTAAATTGGTGAATGAAACATGGGGAGAATCGAAGAAGATATGGCAAATAGCCGGACCCACAATCTTCAGCCGTCTGGCCATGTTTTCTCTTACCGTCATCACTCAGTCATTCGCCGGTCACCTCGGAAACGGTAACCTCGCCGCCATCTCCATTGTCACCACTCTGCTCATCGGCATCACCTTTGGCTTATTGGTATGTTGAGCTAAAATCTAGTCCTTTAACTATTCTCACTCTCCAAGAATTAATACACTTCCGTTGTTTCCTGTTTCATTTTTTGTACTTATTGTTATACTCCATGTTCAATTCCCAGAAGCTTTTTTCATTAGATTACAAATTTCTAAGAATACTGCAATGTGTTTTTTAGAAGGGTAGCTGAATGATCAAAAAAATAAAGAAGGGTAGCTGAATGCTTCATTAATGTAGAACTGTAGATGATTAATTGTGCCCTCAAAAATCAGTGGCAGGCCTTTGACTTAGCAGAGAAATCTCTAGGTTTACCAAGTATGTGTGCTCATTCTTTTGGCTTATTAGAATATACTTCCTCCCTCCTGCTAAGATCTTTTTGCTTTCCTTTTTTAGCCGTCCCAAAATGATCTTCTCATTTCCTTAAATGAAAAGTTATCCTACATCAAAACGGTTTCAAACAGTGCCAAACAGTGTCGAAATAGTGTACTCTACATTAAAATCAAATTTATTTCCTAAATATGTGTGTAGGTCAAAGTAAGAAGTTCTTAGTGGGACGGAGGTAGTATTACTTATGGGAGCCTAATGTGCTATTATACCTTATGAATGTGCACTTCATTTTCAGAATCATTAATGTGCACTGTCAGGGCCGTTTTTTGAAAATTTGGTGCCCATGGCAAAAATTAGAATTACACCTGATATAATACGAGAGTGACGTTCGTTTTACACGAAATAAATCATAAATAGAATCATTGATTAAAAATTACAAGAAAAAAAAATAATGCTTAAATTATACGTAGTAGATCAGTAATTAAAAAACACCAACAAAATTTTGAAACGTTTCTATGTTTCTAGGACAAACTTAGTCATGTTTGTATAACTTAATCTCTTTGTTTCTTAGTTTTATCTTTAAAAGCCATTTGTTTTGCTTTGGTTTAAGGTGTCATAGTAAATACTATATTAAGTAAAAAATATTTCAACACTATAGGTGATTAAAACAAGCTATTTAATACACACACACAAACACACAATAATGCATAATATTAGGAACATAATTTATAATGAATAAATTTAAAAATATATTTTGTGACACAAAATTAATAGGAAAAAACTTATACGTACGGAGTATATTTTAATAAGGAACATAATTCAAGTTTAATTTTTCAATTTCTCAATCGACTTGAAATTAAACTGAATATAAAATAGCTCCTCTTATTAAAAAAGCACTTATTACGAAAAGAAGTTCATCATTATATCCAAAAATTATAACACTTCGATTTTCTAGTTTAGTTTTGAATTTTCCTTTATCTTGTAGTGCTTGTATACGAGGGCTCTGGTGAAATATCCATGAATTGATTGAGCCATAATTATAAATTTTGAAATTATTAATTTCAAGTTGTAAAATTGTGAATTAATTTTTACAAGACGTTCTACATCAGTACATTGACCGTCTCACAGTTCACACACGTGGTTTCAAGTTGTAATTTATGTTTTGTTTTTCTATTTTCCATTTGATTGGTGCCATAGAATTGCTACACACAGCCGAGCACATCGACATAGCAGTAGTTTTTTTCTTTGAATTTGGTGCCCCACACAATTATGAGGCCCTAGGCATATGCTTTTGTGCCTGCCACCCATAGCCGGTCCTGTGCACCGTATTTAGTGTAAAATCATTTGACTTTGTACCTTCATTCCTTAACAACGTTTGGACCGATAGGATGCATACATTAATGTTTCTGAAAATGGGGTGCAAAGTCCAATATAGCCGAAAAAGTGGGGTTCAAAGTCAAATTCTCCATTTTAATATCGTATCAATGTGAAACGTGTTACACACTGGAATCTTCAATCAAAACATCTCTACTCAAAATTTAGCAGTTTTCTTTATAGATACTGCTTTGATGTGTACCTTGCACATTAATTTATCCATGTGAAATGTGTTGCACCTTGGAATTTTCAATCAAAACATATGTGCTCAAAATTTAGCAGTTTTCTTATTTGATACTGCTTTGATGTGTACCTTTCACATTAACCAGCTTGGGATGGCAAGTGCAATGGAAACATTGTGTGGCCAAGCTTATGGAGCAAAGCAGTATCACATGCTGGGCATATACTTGCAGCGCTCATGTATTCTGCTCTCTTTGAGCTCTATTGCTTTGTTGCCTCTTTTTATGTTTGCCTCTCCCATAGTTAAACTCTTGGGTCAGTCAGATGACGTGGCTGAATTGACCGGTGAGGTGGCGATATGGCTAATCCCTATGCACTTGAGCTTTCCCTTTCAGTTTACATTGATGAGATTCCTGCAGTGCCAACTAAAGACTTTGGTGATCGCTTGGGTTTGTGGTGGAACACTTCTACTCCACGTAGTTTTGAACTGGGTTTTTGTTTATACGTTGAGAGTTGGGATTGTTGGAACTGCTATTGTTCTTGATATTTCATGGTGGGCTTCTGTTATTGGACTTGTTGCTTATATTGTCTTTGGAGGATGCCCACATTCTTGGACTGGTTTCTCTAGGCAAGGGATCTTTGGTCTTTGGCAGTTCTTTAAGCTTTCTTTGGCCTCTGGAGTTATGCTCTCGTGTGTTTCTTTCTCTTTCTCTCTCAGTGCTTCCAGTAGTTTGAATATTGTCTCATGACAGAAAAAGAAATATAAATTATTGTCATTTCAGATTGGAGAATTTCTACTTTAGAGTTTTAATCATCGTCTCAGGCTATGTGAAGAATATTGATGTTTCCATTGACGCTCTCTCCGTCTGGTCAGTGTGTTCTTTTCTTAAATTAATTTAAGACTATGTTTGGCACAGCACAAGGTAGTTTATATGCTACCTATTATATCATCTTGAGAAAGTTTTTTGAAATAAGTTTTGTTTGGTTGAGCAAGCTTCAGAGTAGTTTCCATACAAGCTAGTTAGATTTTGTATGTCGTTTCATTTCAACCTCAATATTTTTTAAATATACCCTTCTATGTCATTTTATATTTCTATAGTAGCTTGTCATATTATATATGACAGCTAACGTATTAGCATATTTTGCCAAACATAGCATAAATGTGTTTTGGTTTTATGGTGTGGGTAATAAATTGTTCCTTGTTCTACAGTGTTACTATCATCGGTTGGGAATCCATGATTCCATTAGGACTATTTGCTGCAACAGGGTATGTTGGTAACGGTAGATTCTTTCATTTCATTTTTAAATGGTTGAATCTCCCGAAATCTTTTAAAAAAGAAAAAATGTTGGCGACATATACTTATGCCATATAAGTTGGGCAAAAGCTACTTATTCTGCTTATAAGCAGAACAAGCCAGAGCTGGCTACCAAACCGAGCCTTTTTTATTCGGAAATTGTCCTAAATAGGACTAAAAAGTTCCTAAAAAGCACAAATAGGACTACTATTTTTAAAATTCCCTAAATAGGACTAAACATTGATTTTCTACCCTAAATACCCCTAAGAGTATTAATTCATAATGAAATGCTTTAATTCATAATAAAATCACAAAAAACATAAAAAAATATTTAAAAAACGTAAAAAAATTAAAAAAAAATTATAAAACATTTATAAAATAAAAAATTTAATTTTTTATTTTTTTAATTTTTTTAAAAAAATAATAAAAAATAGTAAAAACCCATAAAAAATGAAAAAAAATATGGATACCTTTCTCACCGCCTCCCGCCGCCTCCCAACACCACCACCTCCGATTGGTGAAATTTCTTCCACTTTTAGTAAAAAAATGCCATATTTTTCTGAAAATGCCAAAAAGATGGCATAATTACTCTTCAATATGCCAACATTTTCATTGATTATGCCATCATTATGGCATTATTTAAAATGTTGGCATATTTTTGTCCGGTGATGGGAGATGGTGGTGTTGGGGGTGGCAGGGGTGGTAATGTGTTTTTTTTTAATTTTATGACTTTTTTAATTTATTTTTTATTTTTTTTAAAAAAAATATTTTTTTTTATTTTTTCAAAAAAATATTTTTATTAATTTTCTATTATTTTTTTTTACGATTTTTAGTATTTTTTTCGATTTTTATTAATTTTTTTATGATTTTATTATTAATTAAAACATTTCACAAGTTACAAGGGTATATTTGTCCAAACACACATAAATAGTTCTATTAAGGGAATTTAAAAAATGTAGTCCTATTTGTGCAATTTTTCCACTTTTTAGTCCTATTTAGGGAATTGACTCTTTTTTATTCCTTGAGCAGAATTTGATGTTAGCTATCTGATTAGGCAGGTAAACAATAATTAAAGGGAAATTAAGCCAGGACTTATGTTTACTAAAGTAACATGTATTTTATGTTCTACTAAACAGGATTCGTGTGGCAACTGAACTAGGAGCAGGAAATAGAAAAGGAGCAAGGCTTGCAACTAAAGTGTCATTATTGAACTCTTTTATAATTGGCGTCATGTTTTGGTTGATTATTATGGCATATCCTGAGAAGCTTGCTATGATCTTTACCTCAAACACCGCTGTTATAAAAATGGTTCATGACCTTTCTTTCTTGTTAGCAACTACTCTTCTAATCAACTGCATTCAACCCATACTCTCAGGCAAGAAAACATAAAATCCAGTTTCTTGTAATTTTTAGGGCCTGTTTGGTAAGGGGCATAGGGCTATTTAATAAAATCATTTTCGCCATATAAGAGCATCTCCAATGGTTGTTTTTAGGGACTTGCTTGCAATTTTGAAGCTAATAGCTTGCCATTGGAGGATTGCTCTTCCTTTTGCTTGAGAAAGCTAATTAGCCTAAATGAGCTACTAGCTTGATCAAGGAGAATATTAAATATAGCATTATAAATAATAAATGAAGAGAAAAAGGTTATAGCTAACCATTGGAGTATATTTCAATTTTGCTACAAAAGCTTACTAGCTAGTCAAGCTATGAGGGCAATAAGCCAACCACTGGAGATGCTCTAAGTCAATACTTTTTATAGCCTGACTCAACCATAATTCCAGGAGTAGCTGTTGGATTTGGTTGGCAGGCGCTGGTGGCATATGTAAACATCGGAAGTTACTATCTCGTTGGGATCCCATTAGGGCTATTCCTAGGATACTTCTACCATTTCGGATTGAAGGTGATTGTATATGTATTATGAATTACTATGTTTAAGATAATGGAAGCAAAGTTTGTGTGATTGTACTAGGTTTTGGCTGGGCTAGTTTTTAACATCTGTTAAGACCCGGAGTTCCATCCTAAAAGGTCAACCTGATAGGAGGAGGAGCCCACATCTTAATATAGCACTTTATTGATTCAAACTTGTCCGGTGTGGGATTCTAACAACCTCCTTATTTTCAGGGCATCTGGATAGGAATGATGTGTGGAACAGTGGTTCAAACATTGATTTTAACAGTTCTCACATTGAGATGTGGGTGGTAGAGGTAAATTTAGGGGCCGCGGGTCTTTCTACATTATGTTATTTGTAAAACAGCCCTTCTTCCTGAGCTACTGACGTTAAAATCCCACTAGAGTGACCAAATCCTCATAGGTATCTTACTCTTTCCTTAGAGCCTTCAAAATGTGAAGTTTTTGTTACCCTCTTCTCACTGTGCGGGTATCAGTTAACTGAACCTGTTGTGTATAAAAGTGTAAATGTATGCATTAAAAGTGCTCTATGGCCTATGCGTATTATATCCCACAAGTTTATTCATTTGACAAATACTAGTAAGAGTTTTGGGTTTCGGTTTGAGAATGCAATGTATTAGAAGAGGTTGTGCTATAGAAGTATAGAGTTTGGTGCCAGTAGCATTATATAGAAGTGATTTAGGGAATTGGGGCCTTAACCATTGCTACTGGTTCTGGTGCAATACTGGTTTTTATTTTTCATTTTATTTATTACAAAATACAAATTGCTTTTTTAAAAACAAAGGTAAAAATATTATTATTTGAAACATAAAGATATTTGCAAATGTTTTTAAAAACAAACTATGAAATAATTTTAACAAAGTAAAGACATGCTTTTCATGATAAAAAGGGCTTGCACTTTAATCAAAGCTACCTATGTATTTTCTTTAGTTTTGTTATTTCATTATTAATATTAATAAAAGCATAGTAATAATTGTCTATTTGTCAATAAATTAACATTATCAGTGTTGGTTTCGTTCATGAAATGATGTATGTGTTCGTGTGATATTTTATTTTTTGTGTATAATGTCTTGCTTTTAACCGGAAGTCCCTCAAACGGGTTTTTGTGTAAAATTTAATTAAAAATTCCGCGCGGAAGCCCCTCAAACGGGCTGGAATGGGTGGCGTCTCTGGTTAGATTGTCTTGTCAAGGCTTGACTGAAATTGCCGTCCGGTCAAACCCATTTGAGGGGTTTTCGGGTGGAATTTTTTGATAAAAATTTTGTGAGCATGTTCTCCGCAAATTCAATTGGGAAGTCAGCTAAATAAATTATTTAAAAATATTGTGTTTTATACGTAGTATATACATACTTGAACTTTGTAAGTGATATATATCAATTTAATAATATTATTAAATTATTTAAAAAAATTGTGCATTATATATACATAGGCATGGACCCGTCTCGGGCCGGCTTTTTGGGTTTGGCTACGGGCCCGGAACCGGCCAAGGATTCTACCGGGCCCGGGATGGTCCCCGGGCCTGTTCAATTTTTTTTTTGTTTTCTAGTTAACCCCCGACCCCCCCCCCAAACCCCCCCAAAACACCCAGCCCAACCAAAGGATAGGGTAGCCCAGAACCGACCCGCCCAACCCCCCGGGCCGGGCCTAGCCCCGGAACCGCCGGTCCGGGCCCGCACAGTGGCGGGTCGGGCCGGTTCCCGGGCCGACCGAAACCTGGCCATCACTATAGTCTATATATACATACATGAACTTTATTTAAAAATATTGAGCTTTATATATACATACATGAACTTCGTAGTATATATCAATTTTGTAATAGAAATGGGTAAATGAACTTTGTAAGTGATCATAGTGGTGTTGAATATTGGATAAAAGTTAGGAAACAATGTAATGTTTCAATTTAAAAGTGTACCGGTTGTACTGTCAATCTTGCCATGTTTGCTTTGATATTTTCTAACCATCATTGGCTTTATAATGTTCTACTCCATGTCTTTGACCAGATCCAAACTCCTAATCTCCATGTCTTTGACCGGATCTAAAACGAGCATGTGCTGTGTGCATGTTCTTAATTGAAAACAGGAACAATATAATGATCCTTAAAGCAGAAGTAACCTAAAACGTCATTGTTTATGGCCCTTCAATGGGTTTTATTCAAACTTTGGGAGTGTGTCAATCTTTTTCTTTTTCCATCTCTGGCCAGTGGCCTCTGGGCAGTCTGGGAGTACTAAACTTGATTTGTATACTCCGGAATACTTCGTATTTGGATAGTCATCTACACCGTATTGAAGTACTGTTAAACCTGACTACCTGAGTATGAATAATTGTATTTACGGTACTCCACGCTTAAAGTTTTATTTGACATATTTGCTAATTTTCTAATCTCTTTTATCTAAAGGACATTGTGCCAATTTACACAATGCATAACATTTGAATATGTGATACACTGATGTAATGAATATTACACCACAAAAATGATATCGCACCATTTTGTTAGAACGTATGCCCACTAAAATTAAAGTTATAACTAGAGATATAAAGGAAGAAAAATCCATTGTGTGCACAAAATCTGTGGGCAGAGTTATCTGTGGATAGACAACTTGTCTGCGGGAGACAGACGAGTGTACAAAAAAAGTGTACACATTTTATGTACACCTAGCCCACCCAGCTCATAAAGGAAAGCCGCATTGAGCAATGTTTCGTTTTTTGCTAACATTAGGTCAGGACCAACTTTAGTGGACTTTTTTTGGACTCAATAACTCAAATCAAATCCTTGACCGAAGTATAAATTCAAGTTGCTTAAACAATGTTCTTTAATGAAAACTGTACATAATTTATACTACGTATATGAGTGTGCCCCTGTTTTGTCATGGAACTTTTCTCATCGGTATACAAATTGACCTGAATTTTTCTATAGAACATCTTAGTGTCGTCATTTTGTTGTGCTCTCTAAGCTACTCTAGTATTTGTTCTATAGAGTATAGAACATATGTGTCATTATTTTGTTGTGCTCTCTAATCTACTCTAGTATTTGTTCTATGTTAGACTTAACATCATTGAACTGAAATAACATTCCAACCCGTAACTTTCTTTTCGGGAGTGTAAGAATTATTTCTTCAAACCGTAAGATACTTGATACATTAGTGTCAGTTAAACATTTTCATAATAGGAACAGTATAATTAATCGATAAGATATTTGATGAAATTAAATGACACAATCTCAATCAAATACGTATTATTTCATATGGACAAATTCATTATTATTTAATAGAGATATTACCTGAAATAGGACTAAAAAGGTTTGAAAATTCCAAAATATGACTGTCATGTTTTTATTCCCAAAATAGGACTAATTACTGTCATGTTTTGGCAGTCCCAGACTTCAAACATGGCAGTATTTTCCAAACATGACAGTAATTACTCCTATTTTGGGAATAAAAAACATCACAGTCCTATTTTGGAATTTTCAAACTGTTTTAGTCCTATTTCGAGAACTTTCCCTTTTAGAAAGGTAGAGAGTTGTCACCTAATTATATTCCAAATTTCTCTTTGGCTCTCAACCACTATAGTCAACTCAAACTCTGTTTCGCTCCCAAGTCTCTTCTGACGTTAACATTCATGCAAGCACGCTCAGTCGCTCAGCTCCCATATATATTCCGATCCCCTTCTTCTATCTAGCCCGCCGGCCGGCCGCATTCCGGCAGACAGTCAAAGAACATCAGTCATAACGGCATATTACATGAATATAAAAACCACGTAAGCAAATCGATCTTCTTCTAACAAATATGGCTTCTATGCACTTGTACTACTCTCTCATCTTTCATTTGGCTCTAATCTCCCCACCGGTAATAGGAGGAGCTCTAGAAGCTCCTCCACCTCCGCCGGAACTGGTGTTCAACTCTCTCGCGGCACTCATTATACTCTCCTTCATCGGTTTGGTTATAATCATTTGCTTCATCATCGCCATCTACGCTCGGTGCTGCACCACCGAGCGCAGCATGGGTCTCGACCTCACTGAAGGCGACTCTCGGAGGCGGCATAGACGCCTCCGCCGGTCTACGGCCTACGGGCTTGACCCGCATTTCATCGACACCTTCCCGATGTTCCTTTACTCCGACGTCAAGGGACTCAAGGTCGGCGGGAAGGCGACGCAGCTGGAATGCGTGGTGTGCTTGAACGAGTTCGAGGACGACGACTCGCTCCGCCTACTCCCCACATGCTCTCACGTGTTCCACCCGGTTTGCATCGACGCGTGGCTTGCGTCACACGTCACGTGCCCCGTTTGCCGCACGAATCTCCTTCCGACGGGCCAGGGGAAGAGGAGGATCACTTTACTGAGTCATAACCCGGCCATTGACTCGCCCGTCTATGAGCAAGTTCATTACTCCGGCAATGGGGAGATAAACGGTGCCTTGCCCGCCCCAACGGGGAGGTCAACGCCGAAACGGCATCGGATTATAACCGGGAGATTCTCTCGGTCTCACACAACCGGTCATCACTGTGACTCGCTGCTTCGACCCGGAGAAAATGTTGACCGGTTCACGTTGAGAATACCGGACGAGTTAAGAAACCGGTTGGTCAACGCCGGCCTGAGAAGAAATCGGAGTTATGCGGAGTTACCGGCTGGCGAAAGAAGTTGGAGGAAGGGGTATAGAAGTAACAGCAGTGGGGTTGGTTTGGGAAGATCCATCAATGGAAAGTTGGGGTACACGCCGCTGTCGTCAAAGGATGAGCGTGGCGGCAGAGGGGAGGAATTGACGGCGGTTCCGGTGAGTTTGATTAGGACCGTCAAGGCACCTCTTGATCGTTTCATTAGTGGGGCGGAAAACGATAGTGTTGAGGAACAATCTCTCAATAAACTTTTGCCCTCATGAAAACTTTATTGCAATAATTTTGTATATTTGTAGTCTTGTAGATGGGGTGTTATTAAATAGGGAAAGTTCTCGAAATAGGACTAAAACAGTTTGAAAATTCCAAAATAGGACTGTGATGTTTTTTATTCCCAAAATAGGAGTAATTACTGTCATGTTTGGAAAATACTGCCATGTTTGAAGTCTGGGACTGCCAAAACATGACAGTAATTAGTCCTATTTTGGAAGGTAGAGAGTTGTCACCTAATTATATTCCAAATTTCTTTGCTCACTCCCTTTCTTTATTCGTTGTGCTTTAATTTGATTGGAGACATGGGTACTGTACCTAGCATTCATTTGATTGGACCACATCACTTTATCAGTTTTAATTTAGCTTTAAATAATTCAACTGCTGCCTTTTCATTGGTCCATGTGGACAAATGTATAGTACCTTATGGGTACCATAGAAACTACCATATAATTAAGGTAGATTCTATGCTACCCATAATGTATCATACCTTTGTCCACATGGTCCAATGAGAATGTTGCAGTTGAATTATTTAAATTTAAATTAAAAACGATATCATGATGTGGACCAATCAATTGAATGGTAGGTATGGTACCCCATTTATTAAATGAGTACCGGAGTTGTCGCCATTAATTAATCAATCACATAATTACTTACCTGTAGTCTTGTTTAGATTAAAAGCCTAAGTTGACTCGATGAGGAAATAATGAGCTAATCTGAAACATACTACCTACGTTCTCTTTTAATTGCAACATTGAACTTTTTGCACTATTCATGTATTCTATTTTGACTATATTTTATTAATTTATGTATTATAAATTAATTTTTTTAAAAAATATTGTTAAATTCTTCTCATTCTAATTTTTCAAAATATGAATTTTTTAAATTTTTTACTAATAAAGAATGAAAGATATTAATGGTCAAACTTGTGCATTGGCAAAAGAATGAAGTATATACTACGTACGTATTTTATTTGTAATTTGAGATTGTAAATCTCGAATTTAATTTAATTTAATTTTAATGTCATAAATTTGTTTAACATATGTAATTTGTAACGCATGGGGTTGTACTGCATATATTAATTTCTTATGGAGCCGGCCCAAAGTTCAATTTGTTCAATAAAGTAGGGTGTACGTAAAGTGAAACTTCCAAAAAATATACTCCCCGTCCCTGTTTTCTCTCCCTTTTTGACCCGACAGATGAGAGAGAAATGTGTAAGAATTGTTGTGAACCACAGATTCTTTGTCAAAAAGGAAAGATGAGATAATTTCAGGACGTGCGAAAAAGAAAAGTTTGAAGATAATTCGTGGACAGAGGAAGTAGTATAAATGAAATGAAATAAGAATAAACGTATGAATAAATAAATAAAATAAAACACTTTCTAGGCACTCTTCCCCCAAAAAACTTCATTCTTCCACGTCTGTCTCAATATCAGGTTATATATAAAGCCTGGAACGCGGTTAAGTTGGGCAATTTGCCGTCCATTATACCGTACAAGTGAACTAACGGAATTCTTCCGTTTTCTTCCCTCTCTTTAGGCCAAACGAACCTCAAATTACCCGGTGATTGCCCCAGCGGATGCAGCCACGTACGTCGTTTTTGGTGACTCGCCAAAGAATATCTCTGACACACCCTATCTTTGAATTGTTCGATTGCTTTGAACCTGACTCATATAAGATGGCTACACTCATTTCGTTCCTTCTTTGCTCACTCCCTTTCTTTATTCGTTGTGCTTGCCTAGCTCTTCAACTGGTTTTTGCAGCTGTGAGTTTTTTTTCCCGTTTCTTGTTAGTGTTTTACTGTGTCGGTTGTTGTATTTTTGATTCCCCGATTACCTCTGGCTGTTTGTTGTTTGGTCATGGTTGGGGTGATGGCAGGTTAATATGTTTTTTTGAACCCTTTTCCAATTACAAATTGTTTGAGTCCTGTGTTGCTTTATCTTGTTTACCTCTTTCGATGGTAGTGGGATGGTATCATGTTATTTTCCAGTATTTTGCGTTGTATGTGTTTGGCATCATATTACAATTTTTTGCCCCCCCCCAATATAATTATGGAGCCCAACTGGGATGCAAACCGAACTCCGTAAGATATTACTCCGTATTAGGCATTTAGGGCCAACCGCCCAATTAGAATTAGAATTTTGGGCGTATGGGCTGACCTAACATTTGAACGGGGACTGGGGTCGTCTGGGGAAGTCGGGACTTTGGAGAACGCCACAGACTGCCTTGCTCATCTGAAGCTTGGAGAAATCTGGCCGCTGCACTAGTGGGCGGCCAGCGGCCTTGCTCATCTCAAGTTTGCAAAGTCCGGTTCGAATCTGTTCATGTATTTTACTCAATTTTGGAATAATATACTATTTTCATTTGTTTTATATTACGGAGTATCATTTATTAACAAATACCAATTCAGTGATTCACCGTACTCTAATCCGTGAATTGCATAAACAAAATTGACTAGGTTTCAAGCAGTCGAGGTTTACTCAATAAATCTCTATTGCTCTGGATTTTTTTTCTTCTTCATAAATTTAAATTCCTACCAACGAGTTTTCTCCTATAGTTTAGCCAAGTATAAAATAAGTATATGTGAGCTCATTTATTCACTACTCTTCATCTCATACGAGTATATCAGTATATGATTTTGCATTTTTTGCTCTCATTTGATCCAATAATTGGTTAATTTTGTTTATAAGTTATCAATTAATTTAATAAGTAATGAAATGAAAAAAAATAATAACTAGCTCGACCTGTAGTGAAATTGAATTATTATTATTAATTAATAAGAATTTATTAATACTTATATTAGTTATATAAACTGTTAAAGACTGTGTATTTGTGTGTAGTTAACTAGTTTATATGCTAATACTTGTATTATATTCTCGCCCCCCTCAATACAAAAGTCTGGCTCCGCCCCTGTCATCATATAATTTTAAGCACAATGTTTTTGCTATTCGTTTAATAGGAACCCTTTTCATATGGAATTAAATTTTGAATTACAATTGCAAGGACCATTTTTATTACAGCACTTGATGTTGTTCTCTGCAATTATCAATTGATTCATATTAAATTAAAATTACTACGACCAAGTTTTACGATTTTTTTTTTTGAAAGGGGTTTTACAAATTCTTAATAGAAATGATAAACATTAGTTTTTCCAGAACTTTTTTAAATCTCTTACATAGTTTTCTTGAAGTTAACAAGTATCGTTGATACAGTTCTTATACGCTTGAAATTTGATCAACTTTATAGACATTTACAATGCATCGTACTGAGTATGTCAACTTTTAACTATTTTAATATTTTATGTATACCCATTTGAAATCATTAGTTTTAAATTATCCTTTTGAGTATTATCCAATTTAAACGTCTTTGCTTTTGACATGTTTGGTTTGGATGTTTGAATGTCACTTTTAACTGCGGATCAACGTTTCTGTTTCTCTTTGTTTGGTGTTAGGTACCCCCGCTACTCTTCTTTGATCCGCTTAAATTGTAAGTCATTTATGCTCCTGAACATAATTTTTGATAGTCTGTGTGTTAAAAAACTGTTAGTTATAAGGTTATGCTTCTCTGTTGCTTATGTTTTTAGTTATTGTGCAATCTGCTTGATGGTGTGCGTGCTTGCGCTTGCCATGCCTGTGACCAACTTTAAGTGTCACTTGGTGCAGCCTCTTTTACTTTGTGTGTGGCTTTAAGCTGCGGTGTCGGTCTTTGTTTTAGAGGCTACAAGTGACATCAAGTCTTATATTGACCGTTGCTTTAATGGTGTGTTTTTACATATTTGATTAACACAGTTGGGTTATGGTGCGGGCCGGTGGTTTGGCCTGTCAATTATCTCAAACAGACAAACATGACCGACATTTGAAACGCCGCCGGTTGACATACAGTCAGCGGGCTGCTGTCAGTCGCAGTGGTATTACTCCTATTGCTGACAGCACCCATCAAACCTGTGACACCTCCGTTCCTTCAGGTTCATCCCTACGTATGCACGATTATTAAAGTGACCTATGTTACAACGCATGTTGGTGATCCATTCTAACTTGTTCTTCTTTGTTGTTTTTCCAATACCCTTCCTACACAACTGAAATAATCTGCCAACCATATATTGCCTTATCCTTCTTCATATTCATTTGGCCTTTTAAATTCCCTCTCTTTACCTTGGTGGAATGTACATTGGGTGTCGTTTATGTGCTTTTGAAATAATTATTCCCAAATCTGTGCCTATCTGCCTTTTGTTGCCCTTCTTTACCCACCCTTTATTTGCGTACCATATGTTCGTATTTGTTCCTATACATACTTCTAACCTCTGTGCACATTTTGGTTTCCCCCCACCCAACTTCCAAACTACTTATCCTGCCACTGGTGTTTTTGATATGTTCTTGATTGGCTTTACTTGGTGTCATTTTCATTTGTATGTGCATACCGTCATCAATTCCAGCGCACACCTCTGTGTCCGAATCTAGCAGGTCGGTTCCTGTTACCGTTGACGAGTTCCGCCTTCAGAGTGTTCCTGATTGTTTTTTCTGCGGTGCTCAACGTCTACAATATGAACCTGCAAGTATGTGTTGCAGTAAGGGTGAGATCGTTCTCACGTCTACTGAAATGCCAGAGCAACTGGTTCGCTTATTCACGGCGCTCGACCCTTTATCAAAACACTTTCGCTCTTGCGTGCGCACTTACAACAATACTTTTGCTTTCACATCTATTGGGATCTACAATTATGACAAGAGTCTTTGTCGCCGTAATCAGGGGATATATACGTTTAGGGTTCAAGGTCAAATATACCACTTCGTAAACGACTTGCTCCCTGACGGTTGTCCACCTCAAAATCTGCAACTATATTTCTACGACACAGATCATGCCCTTAACAGCAGGCTGGACTCAACGGAGCGGCTAGACAAAGATGTGGTTCGTGTATTGATGGAAGTGATGTGTACGAACCCGTATGCACAGTTCTTTAAGACACTTTCTGATCTGGATCAGGCAGACGAATTTTCCATTGTCCTTAATGGGAACCCTCGCCTCGATCAACGTGTTTACAACCGCCCAACGTCTTCTCAGGTTGCTGCTGTCTGGGTTGAGGATGGGTATGAAGGTATCGCCTCGACCAGGCACATACGTGTTTATGCGCACAGCGGAAGGTCTCAGAACATCCATTACTACTACGGCTGCTACGACCCTCTACAATACCCACTTTTATTTCCACGAGGAGAAGTGGGCTGGCACGAAGGCATTCCCAAAGGTCCTGTTAACATACAGAACAACGGTTCATCCCCTGTGAATTCGATTTCCCTCAATTGCAGCCGCTTTGAAACAGATGAATCGCTGATAGCTGGGGAAGCACGCTTGCTTGATGGGGGGAAGAAAATGCATTCTGTTTCATGCCGTCAGTATTATGCATACAAATTGCAATTACGGCATGCGAACACGTCATTTGTCATGCATTCTGGCCGGCTCTTTCAACAGTACATAGTTGACTTGTATATTAAGATAGAGACACAACGGCTTGATTATTACCGAAGCAAACAGCGCGAATATCGGGGTGACACCTACCAAGGATTAGTTGACAGTGTTGATGCGGGTATTCAGAGCACTAATGAAGTGGGTCGTCGCATTATGCTGCCTGGGTCATTCATTGGTGGGCCACGCGATATGCGCGGTCGTTACATGGATGCAATGGCGCTTGTCCAAAATTATGGTAAGCCAGACTTGTTCATTACTATCACCTGCAACCCCAACTGGCCTGAAATCAAGGACTACCTAGCCTTCGCTGATGAGACCCAAAATCGCCCTGACCTTGTTTCCCGTGTCTTTAGAGCCCGTCTAGAAGAGTTCAAAAAAGACATAATTTCCAAAGCTTTATTTGGCAAAGTAGTTGCACACACATATGTCATTGAATTTCAGAAAAGGGGTCTTCCTCATGCTCATTTCCTGCTCATCCTGTCTAGGGAATGTAAAATTTCCACTGCATCCCGTTGTGATCAGCTCATTACTGCTGAACTACCAGATCCCACTGTTGATTATCACCTGCATAATCTTGTGAAAAAACATATGATACATGGCCCTTGTGGCGACATAAACCCACAATGTCCTTGCATGGTTGTAGCACACGGTTCCAAATCCCCAGGATGCAGGAGTAAATTTCCGCACAAATTCTCCCCTATCACGGTTTTCGATGAAAACTGCTTCCCAGCGTATAGACGTCGTGACTCAGGAATTACTGTTGATGTAAGGAAACATCCCCTTGACAACCGCTGGGTTGTCCCTTATAATGCGCGCTTGTTGCGCAAGTACGATTGTCACATCAACGTTGAAGCTTGTGCGAGTGTAAAATCAGTTAAATACATATACAAATATGTATACAAAGGCCACGACAGAATTAGCATGTCATTATCAGAAAGGAGAGAAGATGAGGTGGTTGATGAAATTACTGATTTCCAAAAAGCCCGATGGGTTTCTGCTCCTGAAGCTGCGTGGCGTATATTCAGCTTTCCAATGTCAGAAATGCGCCCCGCTGTGCTTCAATTGCAGGTCCATTTAGAAAACTCTCAATACATTACCTTTTATGGCAACCAGCGCATAACGTATATCACACAGGCTGCTGATTCTATGAAAACAATGCTGACACAATTCTTTGCAATGAACATGTCTGATCAGGTTGCAAGATCCCTACACCTTCTTTATGTGGAATTTCCACATTACTTTGTTTGGAATAGTCAACGTAAACAATGGACTCAACGCAAACGAAGGGAAGTCATAGGCAGACTTGTCTCTGTAAATCCTGTAGAAGGAGAGCGATATTATTTGCGACTCTTACTCGCCAATGTACGGGGACCAACCTCATTTGCAAACCTTAAAAACATTGGCAATGACCAAATGCCCACGTATAGGGCTGCCGCTGAACGTCTAGGGCTTCTATCAGGTGATTTTGTGATACGTGCCTCCCTTGATGAGGCAGTTTTATTCCAGCTGCCATCCAGCCTCCGAAAACTATTTGCCACACATTTGTGCTTTTCAGACGTACCAAACCCACGTGCATTGTGGGTTGACTACAAAACAAATTTGTGCGAGGACTTGAGTAGGTTTCAGCCATCTGCACTTGCTGAAAAGGCTGCACTGCTGTTGTTACACGATCTCTTCACTGAAATGGGGAAGGATATAGACTCTTTCGATCTGGTGGATGATGAATTGCGGCAAACTTACACTGAGGGCACCACACGTGAGATATTAGCAGAACGTAATATCCTTGTTAGTGATGCAGACCTGAATGGCATTTCAAGATTAAATGTTGAACAGCGAACAGCATTTGACTCAATAATGGCAGCTGTACACGCTTGCAAGGGGGGGGTCTTCTTCGTTGACGGCCCTGGGGGCACTGGGAAAAGCTTCTTGTACCGGTGCTTGCTTGCGGCAACCAGGACAAACAAGTGGATAGCGCTCGCAACAGCAAGTTCAGGTATTGCTGCGTCTCTTCTTCCTGGAGGCCGCACTGCCCACTCGCGCTTTAAATTACCCCTTGATGGAGAATCAAAGTACATCTGCAATATTGGCAAACAATCTTCTGAAGCAAGACTTCTTAAAGAAGCACGACTTATTTTGTGGGACGAGGCGTCTATGGCAAATCGAATGGTCGTTGAAAGTTTAGACACGACATTGAGAGACATACTAGATACTGACATTCTATTTGGGGGACGGGTTATGGTGTTTGGGGGTTTTTAGACAAACATTGCCTGTTGTGCGCTCCGGCACAAGACATGACTTTGTTGATGCATGCTTACTGAGATCAATAACAATATGGCCACATGTTCAGAGATTGCGCCTTGTTCTAAATATGCGCGCCCATGAAGACCCTGCTTTTAGTGACTACCTGTTGCGGGTTGGCAATGCAACTGAACCACATACAACTCCAGGAAGAATTAAAATCCCTTCCAATTTTTTGCTTCCATGGGTTAACGAAACTGTGTCGCTAGATTTGCTCTTTTCCTCTGTGTACCCAGATCTTCAGGTATTCGAAAACGACCCTTATTCTCTAATGTCACGTGCAATCCTGACAACAAAAAATGACATAGTTGATTTTATCAATACATCCCTAATGAATAAGTTCCCTGGAGAAGCACACGTGTTTCTTAGCCATGATATTCCTATTGACTCAAAAAACACACACTGCCAGGATTATTTGCACACCTTATCCCCTACCGGCTTACCCCCACATAAATTGAATTTGAAACATAATTGCCCAATTATGTTGCTTCGCAATCTTAATCCATGTGAAGGCTTATGCAATGGAACTCGCTTAGTCTGTGATTCCTTTGGGGATCATATTCTAAGCTGTTACATCGCCGCTGGCGACCACACCGGTAAACATGTCTTTATCCCTAAAATCCCCCTAGAGGTTTCTAGGGATGAGAATTGCCCTGTGCCATTTAAACGGATACAGTTCCCTGTTAAAGTTTGCTTCGCAATGACAATTAACAAGTCACAAGGACAGACGCTTGACTTTGTTGGCATATATTTAAAGGAACCTGTTTTTTCGCACGGGCAGCTTTATGTTGCAATGTCAAGGGCTCGCAACGCAGATTCAATTAAAATTGTCATTTGCCCTGACGAACAGAAGCCGTCACTCGCTAATACAACACCCAACATTGTGTTTGAAGAGCTGTTGCCTTTCATTAACTAGGTGTTATTCATATATGTGCATTAATTTAACATTCATATTGCTTTAGTTTATGTCCTCATTTAATGTGTTTTCATCAACGCAGTGAACAGACCATTATGGCAGCTGAAGTACCGATTGTGTCGGTCAAACCGGAGACTAGGCCATGGACCTGTCGAGTGACAGTCATTGAAAAACAGAATGTGCGAACCGCAAAGGCCTCGGCCATGAGATTTATGCCTATGATACTCAGAGATTCTGCTGTACACTTCTGGATCTTTGTTGTTGTAATGGTGGTTGTCAATTTTTGCATTTCCATTTCTCTAACTTAAACAATATGTTCTTTATAGGGGAACAGAGTACAGGCGACTGCATTCCAAGGTGACATTCAAGGAATAGATCAACGGCTTGCATTGTACTCGACCTACCTTGTCTCAAACGCCTTCGTGAAGCCGATAACCGACATGCGCTTCTTGGTTGATGTGGAATACCCATATGTGTGGTCGTTTACACGCCGCACTTTCATCCAGGATGTTGCCGCAGAGACGGGGCAAAACTTCCGCCAACTGGCTGAGGCAGACACCACCCCGTTCAGTGACATATATGATTCTTATTTGCGTGAAACTCGTATCAGTATGCCTCTACTATCTGTTTATGCATTTGTAACATGCCTGTTTGCTATATATTTTATGCCTTCTTACCTCATCAAAAAAAATGTAGATGTTATGGCTGCAATTGTAAAGAAATTGCCACGCACCTTTGTCTTCTCCAATGACACTCAAAAACCAGCATGGGATGTCGTCCTTATTGATTCACAGTACACCCTAAATCATTAATTTACATTCAATTTATTACAAAACTTTCTCCACACTGGTCTCATTTTCCCATATGCATTCATAGGTGCATCCCAATCCCATTCACTATGTGGGAGGAATTCGTCACCCGTCATGGTCGCGAGATAGAAAAGTGTCTTCACGCAGGTGATTTCCCCCTTGTGCTCATCAACAGGGCTGCCATCAACCTTTTCCAAGGTTATAACATCATTTCTATTTACTTTAAACTCCATCGGAGTGGAACATGAAAATACACATAGATACTGTGCAAACTCTATGTTATCATTTTGCACATATAGTTGCAACACACTGCAATGTTTACAACCTCATCTGCCATATACCTACGTTGATAGACAACACATTCCTTTTGGTGCTCATTTTGTCTTAACTACATTTGTGTTTCGCAGGTTTGACTCTTGCAACTCGTTTTGACTCCCACGTTGAACTCAATCCTGATGGAGAACGCGCATTGCAACTTAAAAAATGGTGCCTACTTGTTTCTATATCCATGCATTTATTTACTTACCAGGTAGTTTAGGTAGGGATAAAATCTCTTCTCTGTCTTTACATGCTCTCACAGGGTTGCTGAAAACAAAGCCAATATCAATTACGCACTGCATCGTAAAGAATACGATAACGCACTTACATATATCGCCAAACCTCTTTTGCAACCACAAACTACCGTGGCAAACTTAGAAAGTGCACTGACTGAGGTTTGAGTCATTACTGATTTCCAACTTTTCAGTGTGAAGTTATTCTGACATGGTAGTAAACAATGTTTTCACTTCTTCAAATACACAGGTTCTTGTTGTATGGGTGTATGGTAAGTTTCACTTGGCAGATACTTCTGAAGAAGGGTACTACATTGGTTGCGACTACTGCAACCGCAGAGTTCATGGAATCGAAGGTGCCAATTTCCAATGCTTATTCTGCGGGCAAATAAATGGGACTACTGTTAAAAGGTATGCGAGCAGCTTGACATGCAACATACTTCTTCACGTCTTGTCTGGTACTAACTTTGGATTCATACAGATTCAGACTTAACGCTTCACTTACCGATGGAACCAGCACCATTCCTGACGTGCTGCAGCTATTTCAATTCGTATGCATGGATGCAACTACCGACATGGATCTGAAATTGTTCGATGCCAAAATACAAAAGATAAGTGTTCTTGCTGGGGTCAAGCGAACCAAACCTAACGAAGAGGGACTACAGGGCAATCCGTACACCATTGTATGCGTCTCCAAACAGAATGAAGCCCCCCCAGAACTCAATTCAACACAGACTGAAACCCCCCCTGACTCCGCAGTTGTTGACCCTGCACCACTTGAAACTTCTGCTGAGCCATCGATCCTTTCAAAGAGGAAACTGAGCTTGAAGCCCCTTAGTGAACTACCAGCTGCAACTCCTTCCTCATCTGCGAATACTGCTGCGCACAAGGACAATGTTGCGGAACAGCCACTTGCAAACCTACGCCCCAAAAAGCACAAGCCCAGCACTACTTAGTGTGCAGGTTGCACACATTTTTTGCTATGGTGGATTCGCGAGTGCATTCTTCTAACGGGGATTATATATGACTATGCACAACCTACATTCTTCCTATGCCACCTTTTTTGCTGTCCAGCACGATGTATAATTAGCGGAAAGTCGTAGTACTCACGGCATTTTACTTGCCGCTTAATTACCCATATGTGTGTGAATGCTCCCTGTATTATATCTTCAGCTACTTTTGCGTGTATGTTAATATTAATAAGCAACACATCTTGTAAATGTTAAGCACCTTGGCTTGCCAGTTGTTGGGAATGTATATATGCCTGTCTTTGTATTTCACAAACACTTTTTTAGCCTCCTTAATTGCTCACACGCATCAACGACCAATCAGAAAAGTGTTGCCGCCCTTGCCTATCCTCGGCTTAATCCAAAACGCCCTTGCCTATCCTCGGCTACGGACTAGAAAAACCAATCCATCAACACAAAACTTTAGAATAACCTGTTATATTAGCATTTATAAGTAAAATAACAGGTTATTCGCTTCATAGCAGTGAATCTGTTCCATATGATAGAAATAATGCTCTTTTGTAATAGTTTGTAATAGAACGAAATTTTAATGCATATTTTAATGTATCAAAGTCCATAAATTTAGTCGTATGGGATTTTGATGGATGTGTTTATTATTTTGTAAACATCCCTTGGTCAATATGTTTGTTTAATCTTTCCATATTCACTCCACTGTGTGGATATCACAGGTCATGTTATCCTCTTCTACCTGCAACATAGAGTAACTTTTGATTCCTTCTGCCTTGATTTTTCACATCCCGGTGTTCTATGCCGCCTTTCTTTTCAGGTCACCAAATGTAAACATGAATATCACCTGCAATGTATACTCGAGTGATATCCTGCATCATTAATATCTTAATTTGTTTTTAGGTCTATTTACTCCTTATCTATACTGAGCATCTCTTGTTTCTGTTCAGGTCTCAGAGAAGCCAAGAATGTCCTATTTGTTCAAGGAAAGTTGTACTAGAAGAGCCTGCAAGGTACTCAAATTTTTTGTATCCAAATCAATCACTCAAACTGTGATTAAAACAGAGAAACCTCTTGATTTGAACCCTCTCTCCTTGTAGTCTGACTTCTATCTTTACTGTTTTCGTTATCCAGCCAAGATCTGTTGGTTGTAATGGAGAGTGAAAATAATGCAAGGTCAAGGTACAGTTTGCACTATGCCCCTGAAATTCATGAAAGTGGCAGTATGGATTATGCGGTAAGAATTTGTAGAATCAGCTATACCTGTTTTTCTAAAGCTTTACGCTGCATTTTAATTTCCAACTGTGAGTTATGGTTTCTTTACATAGGATGGTTCTGATTTTGAAGAGAGGATAATGCGACGTTTTGCTGCACTTACCAGCAAAGCTCGATCCATTAGTAGAATGATAAGAATGACGTCTTCAGGGGTGGTTCTTCCTTCTGCACCCACTGAAGCTGGTTCTCATCTGCATCACATAACAGACTACCCAGAAGAGTCTCAAGGAAGAGTTCATGAATTTCTTGGGAGTGGTCTACCTCCTTCTAGAACAACATCTGGCCAAACCACATCATTGTCAACCTTTTCATCTTTATCAAATGTAGCCCCTGCTCCTGCAACAGGTGGAGATGATTCAACTAATCAATGGTATATTCTGCACCATCTGTTCTTCTGCAAGTAACTGTTTTATCAAAGCAAGAGATGCCTTTTGACTGTTGATACTTACAACTTGCTTTCATACCCTATATTTGCTTTCATCTTCTCAACTTCTGTGAATGGTTTTTCTTTTCATGCTTTCTGCCTTGGCTACCACTTTTTCTAACTAATTTTTAAACAAATTCAGTGAGTCTCCTGAGAGTCCTCAAAGGTCAAGTTCATCTGAGTTGCTTGCATTCTCAGAGTCCATAAAATATAAACTCTCTGCTGCTTCATCCAGGTACGGAGTTCAGTTTAGCCCCCCTCTCCCACATCCTTTTCAATCCATCAGTCCCTAAAGAACTAAACAGTTGTGCACTTTAAAATGTGTTTTTGTCCTGGACAAAAGTTTTTTGTGGACAAAAGATGAAAAGACAATAATTTTTGCAAGATTAAATGACATTTTTCTATAAAAAGTACTCCAAAAAAACTTATATTACCTGCGTTGTTATTTAGTTGCAACACTTGAATTTCATATTTGCCGAGGATAGGCTGCTTACATGCTTGCATTTGGCAGTCCTAATTATCTTAGAACATGCTATGCCTTATGCCTATAGCATTTTTACAAGTTACCTACAGCTTTTCACTATATCTTGCTACTTCACTGCCTCCTTTTATCTTTTTTTTGTTCTTATGTTATTTTTCTCTTCTAGCTTTGTAATCCTCTTTTATCTTTCTTATATTCTTATGCTATTGTTATCTTACATTTATTTATCTCTATCATTTTTTGTTCTTGTCTGTCTTCTCTTTTTGACATCCATACCATGGATCGATTCATGTTAACCGACACCAAAATCTTTTGGGAAAAAGGCTTTTATGTTGTTGTTATTGTTGTATTTCTTTTAGCACTTTCTTAGTAGAAAGTTTTAAATTGGATTCTAAATAGAATGTTTTAAATTGGATTCTTAATATAAAGTTAAAAATAGGATTCCATTCTTAATAGAATGGTTCAAAAATAATCTGAAAATATTTGCACCTAACAATCTCCAATCATGTGTACATCTCTAAAACTGCCAATCATGTTCCAATGGATGAGCATAAATTCTTATAGCTTAATGGAGGTTTTATGTTTTTGTATGCCAGTAGGTGATGGAAATTTCTGCATACCAGGGAACAAGAGGGCTCCAAACATCATGTCATTTCAGATAACCTGCAAGTGTAATTTTATGTTTTTCCTTGCACCTGCTTATATTTAATTTGGTCAATGGTTCTACTTGGATTCTCCGTCAAATAAAGACCCATAACTAGGTTCTGTCACACTTATTTCTTTCCCCTTTATTTAGTCATACTTCTCGGGAATTGGTGACATATTTTGCAAAAATTTAAATGGTTGATGATTGTTCCCAGTGTAAGATATGTTTTCTTAAGGTGGCACTTTTTAACAAATTTGTCCAGATTAAGATATGTTATCTTCTCCTTTCCGATACATGTCTTGTTATTTTGCAAACTTATATGTCATTGCTGTTGCTGATTTTTCACATCCCGTTTTTACCATTGGGCACCGTCCCTCGCGCAAAGCGCGAACCACTGCTAGTAACTCAATATAACTCGTTTTCATTTGTTGCCAAAGAATTTGAAGTTCCCAACATCTTTCACTCATTTACACAACTTTATTTAGACCATACAATTCACACTTTATTTAGTCTTTTCCAAATAGGTGATTATGCATAAATTTGACAATTTTGAAACTAGAAATTTGAAAGTCAGGTGAGGCAAATGTGATATTAACTGTTTCTTTGTTTTCTATAATATTTTTTTAACCCTAAGCATATATCTCAAAAATTACCCTACCTAACAAGATAAATGATTCGTAGTAAATAAGTAAAATAGAATTGTTCTGTAAAAAAAAGTAAAATGTAAGTGGACTTTTTTATATTATATTCACTTAATTAGTATTACACCACAAATGACGTTTGTATCAAATATATATTCCGACATCAATATTTTAAACCACTTCAATTTTCAATTATTTTATCTGTATCAAATAAATCACTTGTAAGAAACGTTTGCCTTTATATCACTGTCTTACCAAAGTACAAATTATGGTGTAAAAGAAGTTTTATAAGTAAATGTAATTTGTGGGAGAGTCTTGTTAACATGGCCTCCGACAGCAGTTCGTAGTTCGTACGCTAGGTAGGTCGAATATAATGATAGTTGGTTAGATAAAGCACTTAGGAAATTAAAGCAAGCTAAGTGGATGATAATTTGAAGGATAATGATAGGACAATATTTAGACCATGATTTTCATCTAATAACTAGCAAAACAATCAATTGGCTTGTTCACTAGTGAACAAACACTAGTCTGAAATTGGCTCTATATATCCTTCCCATTGGTTAGCTACTTGAAAAATTAATTCCTCATTACTAGTTGAATTTTAACTGTTTCATTTAAGATTCTTTATTGAATTTTCTCATTTTGTGTAATAATAATGTTTAGACTTGTGATCGAATGTTAGTTAACAGTGTTCTTGTTTTAACTTATATTTCCCACAAAATTGATAAATATCATTCAAATAACATCCGTATATCTATCAATGAAATCGATCAATTCATAAAAAGTAAATGAATTTGAAAGTTTATGATTTTTTAAAAGTCCACAGAAAAAGGGAAGTTCACCACAATTCATGTACAACACAGTACCCCTTAATTGGTTGATAATTTGATACCCCTTAATTGATGATACAAACTAATTTTTAATGGTAATTTTATAAGGCCAGCAATTTAGAGCAATTATCGGAAACTAAACGTTGATAGAGCAATGGCAATTACGCACAACCCAAAGTCATGAAGTCCTTTTTTTGAAGAATAAAATTCAAGGCATCATGCATATTCCATGTTGACCTAACTAGAGGGTATGTATGTCATCAATTCAATATGCCTATGTGGTAGGGCTGGGACTTTGGAACCAAGAACCGGAGAACCGAACCGGACCGAACCGTTATGACCCGGTTCGGTTCGGTTCCAACATTTATTAGTTATTTGTTAACGGTTCGGTTCCTATTTTTTATTAACGGTTCGGTTCTCGGTTCCTGAAAAAAATATGTACCAAGAACCGTTAAGGAACCATTATATATAATAATTAAAATTATATACATATTCTTAGGAGTATATATATTTTAATGCATATTTACTTACTTATTTTTATATTACATTCATTTTTTTAGTTTTGTTATTTAACTATTTAAAACTATTATTCAATTCAACCGGTTCTCTTAGACTTCTTAGGCCTCTCATTAGGTCCAAACTCCAGCGGGTCGGAACTCGAAAGGTCCAAACTATTTAAAATTATTAGTTCTCCTTAACTGGTTCAACATATTTGTATTGTAATTTCCAACGTTGAATGTATTTTTGCCAAAAATTTAGTTGTAATTTGTAAGCTTTTTTTCAAAAACTAGGAACCGTTAAATGACAAGAACCGAACCGTTAAGAACGGTTCGGTTCCTTATCGGTTCTATAAAATAATTTATAAGAACCGAACCGTTAGTAAAATTTCATATTTTCAAACGGTTCCACATATTTTGCCTAGGAACCGAACCGGTCCCAGGCCTACTATGTGGTGTCTTAGTGAATATAAATAAATGATGATATCCTAATGTTGAAATTGGCCTTGGTGGCTTATTGAACACCAGTCATTTTGTGCACGGTGGGAGAAAATGGGAATATAATATTCACTGTTCCATAAAATTTAAAATAACTTTAGTCACATACCAGTATTTGTTATTTTAAATGAAAATGACAAAAAAAAAAATTAGGACAACCAAAAAAGAAATTTGACCAATATGGGTGAATGTAATACTCAATATCTATAATTAGTTGGCGTGCATTGGATCTTCTACTTAGGGAGTGTTTGCAACTGCTTAAAAAAAAGCACTTCTCAGCTTTTGGCTTTAAAAAGCACTTATTTACCAAACACTACCAATTTTTACTTTTTCTCGGCTTGCGTGTGAAAAGTGCTTTTCCCTTTTCTATTACACAAAAAGCACTTATTTTACCAAACACTACCAATTTTTACTTTTCAAAATCACTTTTTTGTCAAACACTATCAACTTTTACTACCAATCACTTTTTCATTACTTCTCCAAAAGTGCTTTTTTTTAAGCAGAAGCAGTTGCAAACACTCCCTTAATTTGTTATAAACATCATCTATTGTATCTTCTGAACTCTCTTTGATTTAGAATTGAAGCGGGTAGAGAGGCTAGGGTCATAAAGGGCTGTTCCTTTGATACCCTAAGTTTTGGATATCTAGGCTAGGGTCATCTGAGATATCTAGGCTTGATTTGTTCATTACATTCGAGTTTCATCCTATGTTTTCAATTTGATTTGGACATTATGAAATCAAGAATGGAACCATTAAAACTTAATAAATCCAGATCTTTAAAAGAAAGAGGGATTTAGACATTTTGAAATTAAGAAATGACTAAATAAGTAGGAAGTAAACATTACGTACCGTTGGTAGAAGTGAAGTAAAATGCCTCGAGTTTTAGTTTTATCTTTGTTGTAGTGACCCATGCAGTGATGGAGCAAGTTTTCTGAAGGGGCACATCCGCACAGTGGCGTATCCAAAAAATTTGGTGAGAGGGGGCAAACTTGTACTACAATTTAGTCTCTTATTTGACAAATGGCAAATCGCATTACTAGTATTGTTTGATTAAATTTAGTTTAAGATATATATATCTACAAGACTACAACTCTACAAGTATGAATAAAAAGAAGATTAATTTATATTACGGGTGTGTGAAGATGTAATTGCAGATAAAATTTAAAAAAATTACCTAAATATAAGTTAAACATAACAAAATTTAGTGATTTTTTTAGCCTTTGATTCTTTTAATATGAAAGAAACACTCTTAATCCTATTTTAGAATTTTTTTTCCCTACATTTAACACTTCTTTTGAGAAATTTCTTATAAAATTTTAGACATGCATATATATAGGGGTTGGGTTGGGGTTGAGTGGGGGCAGCTGCCCCCGCTGCCCACATAGTGGATACGCCACTGCATCCTCATGTTTAGGAATGGCTTGGGTCAGGTTCATCATTGGTCGAGCGGATTTAGGGGAGGACCAACGTAGGCCCTGACTCACCCAAATTTAAAAAATGTTTTAATCTAAAATGTAAACAATTCTCTGTAAAAGTTTTTAAAAAATATCTTTGCACTCATCCAGTCCGGCCCAGTGCCCTAGCTCCGCCCCTAAACTGGATTATTCTGTCTAGTCTATTTAGATTATTATTTTTAACTATTCAATGTCGATTTTGTTGGAAAATTAAATGTATTTCAAATAAATTAATTAGCTTGTAACGGATGTTTATTTAATTGACCGCACATCTGCATGTGGCCGGGTTTTGTAACGTGCCATAGAGAGGCTAACCAAGTTTGCTTGGTTAAACAATTTTCTCTCCACCTTTTAAGGATCCATAATTGCCCTCTAACGTTTAATGCTTTTATACTATTAATTAATATATTATATAAAACCCGGTAGAAGTATGTAGCAAATAGAAAAATATACAAACTCTTCTGGTTCAAACAATTTTGGCAGCATAAAATGATTTTGATTCAAGAATTATGTTGAATTATTATAGTGATTTCCCTCGTAGTTCTGGTTCCGACTTATTGTCGAAGGGCTCGTTGTATCCTGGGAGAAGATTTCCGTTCACCGGAAATACTTTCAGAGGACAGCATTTACGCGTGTCGAGCCACATTCTTTTTGTTATTCTTCTTTGCAGGTGTTTCTCAAAAGTGGCTGCTTTGCTCATTGGATCCAGGGAAGGTGATTCACCAGCAACATCAGTGAACAACTTAACAATGAACAAACTTGCTGTGACTACCGTATGTACTTCGTATTACGCCGCCATAAACCGAGCCACCGAGGAAAGGAAGAGAAGCAACTAGCCGGAGTGCTGCGTATATGCCGGCCAGAACTATATCGCTAGGAGCAAGTGACGTCGGAGGATTATCCCAACAGATTTCAAGGACATAGATTATAGGTCTAGTTTTGAACCCACTAAGACCTTTGTATCAAAATAGTATTGTGTTAAAAAATTAAGTACTACGTATAATTAAAATTTTGTTATTTCATCCTTCAATACAACTTTATCTAATAATATGATTTTATATATCTATCACGAATTGACAAAATTTTTATGATAAATATTTTTTCAAGAAAAAAAGTTTTCCATCTGTTATGTTGATCATGATATCACATATTAGAAGTTCTGCCTTTAGACTAACATGATCATACTTGGTCAAAAAATTATCAATGCCGCATTTCAAAGAAAGTTTAGTGATCATATCAAATACATGTCTAACTGCATGAAATCAATTCATCACAACTTGTTTGTCATATACATTTTCACTACAATTTATATGCTCTTTGATGAAATTATCCGTATATCTAAAAATAATTATCCGTGAAGCGGGGGCACGATTTACATCTTAAACACTAATACTACCTCCGTCCCGGAGACAAGTTCTCACTTTCCTTATTTGAATGTCCCAAAATAAACTTCTCATTTCCCTAAATGGAAAGTTATCCTACATCAAAACAGTGCAAAACAGTGTCAAATAGTGTCGAAACAGTGTCGAACAGTAAATTTACCCCTCAGTAACTTTATTTTCTTAAAGTATGTGAAATTCAACCCGGGGACTTGTTTCCGGGATGGAGGGAGTACTAAATTTCGGGATCGAAAGCGGGAGCACTTCCCCCCTAGGACCCCCCAGGTCCTCCACTGACCGCATGTGCAGATTTTGTTAAGAATGAGACTTTGACTAATCTGTCTTTGAAGCCTGGCCTTGCATATATCAATATGGACTTTTCTTATATTAAATGTGAAAATGAGAGTAATTCTAATTAAGTTATGAGCTGGAAATTTCCATCGAGAAAACCTAGGAATGGACACGGTTCGGGCCACCCGGCTCGGGAACCGGCCCGACCCGCTACTGTGTGGGACCGGCCCGACCCGGTGCTTCGGGTCCGAAACCGGTCCTTGACCCGGTTTGAAGGCTTAAGCCGGGGCGGGCTCGGGCTGCAGAAGTGGAGACCCGGCCCGGTTCGGGCCAAATCTGTTTTTTTTTTTAGTTTTTTTGGGTTTCCCCGGGTTGGGCTTGATGTTATGGGGGGTTTGGGGGTGGGGGGTGAGGGGTGGTCAGGGGTTGTTAGGACAGAAAAAAATTACAACCCTGCCCGAGGCCCGGCCCGAACCGAACCCGGTGGCAACCCGGGCCTTCCCCCAACCACAAAAGGCACGACCGGGCCCGACCCGACCCGGGTCCATGCCTAGGAAAACTTATATTATTTGTCCCATTATTGTTTTGGGGACTATAATATTTATAATATTTATACTCCCTCCGTCCCAATTTGTTTTGCAAAGTCAACATTTTTTAGTCAACCAATAATAAAAGTCAACCCTCCTTATGGATAAGTAATTCAATTTTTAATAATTAAAATTTATATATTCAAAAACTACATTAAAATCTCTTCAAAGTAGTAAACTCCAAATTAGAAAATGATTAAAAATTGACAATCTAATTAAGTGAACAAAACAAGATTGTTTGACTAAGAAAAGTCAAATTTGCAACTCTTTTTGAGACGGAGGTAGTTTGAAACTAGTTTTGCTTTGGTCCTTTTTATGAAATTTCCCATGTTTATTTGTTGAGCTTTGTCCCGAAGTCCGAACATGTACACCCCATTTTGAATTGTCAGTGTAAATAGACAAATAGTGGTGATAAAAACGAGTATAATCAACGTGAACAAACAAAATTTTCCTCGTTTGTTTGTCTTGAGGTGAAACATAGTAGAGATACATACACAAAGCAAGTTGTGCGCTTGTATCCCAAAACATGAAAACCTGAGATCGTTAGACAAGAACAGGGGTGGACTCGGGCCCGGTTCAGGCCGGGCCGGGCCTCGGTTCAATTTATTTTATTTTTTTTGGCTTTTCCTAATTAATCCCCAACCCTCCCCCCTCACCTCCAAACCACCCCAAACCACCTCAAATGGCCCAAAATACCCAGCCCAACCCAAAAACATAAAAAAAAAAATCAAAAAGAAAAAAGAAAAAAAAAATTGGCCCGGATCGGGCCCGAACCGGCCGGGCCGATTCACCTTTTGAGGGGCCCAAGCCCGGACCGGAACCCCATCAGGTCGGGCCTACCCGGACCGGTCCCCAGGCCGGTTCAAACAATAACCGGTTCGGGCCGGTTCCAGGGCGAGCCGCCCGGCCCGAGTCCATGCCTAGACAAGAAAAGGACAGAGGCATGTGAAAAAAAAGGGAATTGAAAAAACACAAAACAGAAGTGCACGAAAAATATCTAAATCCAAAGTCCTAGTAGTAGAGATTGGTTTTATTAAGGCATATCATTGGTGTTAACAACGACCTAAAGAATTTTTGAAAAAAATAAAAACATAATTCTAATTAATATGTATTAAAAAGACCTTAAAATTACGATCACAAAATCAGCCAGAAAAACAATGTCAAATTCTAGAGCTGCAGGTAGGACACATAGAACCAACTACTCCTTGTGTGCCAGATTGCATGGCCTCCTGATAGAAGGTGCTGCTGCACCAGATGCACACTGTGGGAACAACATTTCTTACCGATGCATTTTGAGCCCCACCGCCATCCTTGCCCATCCAAAATGACGGATTGAACCCTCCACCCATATCTACCCCGAAGGGGAAACCTTTCGGTTCTTGCTGACTGCAGCTCAAACTCTGAGTCCCCATGAAACTGTATTCCACTGGTTCACTTCTGTCTGACCTCAACCCTTCAAAACTGCCACTTCTGTCGTTCATTTTAAATAGCCCTTCACCCTGAAAAAAAAAAACAGCAACTGTCTTTTAAGGATGAGGCATGCAGCGTTAAGAAAGTTATTATGAAGTATTTACCTAAACTTGCTTAATACTCTTGTTGCAACATTATAAATTTCTTGAATTAAGAATCGAGATAAAGGAAGAATGAAAATGGAAACTTATTAGGAAATGATATCCTGATGGTGTAAAAAATAACACATTGCCCTTAAAGCATTAATTAATACCCTTCTTGGAACTACTAAATATGACGAACGCAAAAATGGCAGATTTGCATAAGATGCTATGTTGACTGCATAAGATCACACCTGTTGCTAAAAATCAACAAAAGAACAATTATTGTGAAAGGAGTGAATATTGGTACCTTATCTGACATTAGATCATAGGTTTGAAAGCAATTTGATGACTGCACCAGTGAGTTAGCATTAGCTGCCAAACTGCTATCATGATTCAATAGATTTCCCACACTGTTTCTCCAAATGCTGCCATCCATTGTACCTTTGTTAGCCTGGACAACATTACCCCTAACACTACCCATAAAATTCTTACCAAATTTGCCAACACTATCCATTCTCTCTTCCCCCCAGCAACTATTAGGGTACACCGCCGTATTATAATTGTTTCCAAAATCACCAAATTTGCTATTGAATGATGAATTTTGCAAACCAACCCCTACCCCCTGCTTCTGATGTTCCACTCTTCTGTGATCAATGTTATGCACAAGACTGCTTTGGCCACCATATGTTTGCCCCATACCAATCTGGAAACTTGATGTTCCTGTAGGGTAACCTCCTTGCTGAAGTTGCATGATGTCAGCATTCGTGCCAAACTCAACATGAGTGTTTCCAAAAGTGAGGTTTAGATCTTGATGGCCTGAACAATGAAGCCCATTAATTCTTGTAAATGCCTGATTAGAAGGTGCCTCACCAAAATCCTGAGGAAGAATTGCAGTTTCAGGTGGTCCTTGCGCATACAGTTCAGCATCATTACTTTTGTAACCTTCAGTGTCATTGTCATCGCCAAAAAGTGAGAAGTGAAGGTTCCTGTCCTGTTTCAGGTCTGTAGAAGAAGTGTCTACATTTAATCCACCATGACTGCTGCTGCTAAAAGGGAAAATCAATGCATCGTTATTAACATTATCTAGCTCATTGATGTCTAGTTCATCAACCTTACTAGTTGAAACATTTCCAGCAGCATAATTTTCACTAGGATCATCATTCTTCTCAAACTTTTCATTTTCAACACACTCTGGAAACTGACTTCCATACTTTTCGTCAGCAGAATCAATATTTTTACCCCAAGACGTATTACACCCAAAATCATCATTGTTTGGTTCACCACATACACCTTGTGAATTTCCCACATTGGATATGTCATCAAACTTCTGCTCATCAATACAGCTAGAAAAGAGGATGTTTAGATTGTCAACACGGTCATCCTCATCAACTGACAGTGTCTGTAAAACATCATCGCATTCTCCTTCTGTTACTGCATGTAAAGAAGAGGGTGTGATATCATTCATTTGAACATCATCTTCCCTATTGTTAACGCATAATAACCCAGATATTGATTCTTTTTCCACATCAGGACTGTCCTTCTCAAGTTGAAGGTCACCAAAATCACACACTTCCACATTGTCAGCTGAAGAATGCAAAGCACTTGCAGAAGTTGGAACCTTTTCCGACTCCTCCAAATTGGAAGTAGTTCTAAAATCATCAAGTTTATCATCGTGAGAAATTACAGCTTCAGGGCTGGAGCATCTTGTGTATCTGATGGAAAATAGATCTTCAGACTCGTCTGCATTTTTAAAGTTGCCTAGGGTTGTTAAGTCCTCACCATCCTGATCATCAAGATTATCCTGACATAAAGTGTTAGTCTTAAATTCTGCATCAACATTTTTTGTTTCTGATAACTCTTGGTCTAAAACAATAGGTTCTTGCAATCTAGAATCTGTTTGTGGGCCCACATTCATCTGTAATGATTCATTGGCACTCTTTACCTGATTCTTTACATGGGTCCCAACATGACCGTTGTAGCGATGCCTTTCATCAAAGGACTTGTGGCAGAATTGGCACTCAAATTTTCCATCTTTCATAATCACCCCATCAGTAATGGATTGACCACTTTTTTGTTTCTTTCTCTTGTGACTAGAAGACATATTCTGCTTCAAACTATCCGTATTATCATAACCAAAATTTTGATTCTCATCCATTACATGGACCTCTTGCAGATCTCCAAGCAGCAATGGATCATTAATTGCCATATTACTAACCGGAGGTGATTTCACATGGCTAGTAGCAATGGTTTCCTTATTAGTAACATCTACAGCGTTATCTACAGTCTGTTGCACTTTGCTTGCATCAGTAGCTGGTTTATCACCTTCAAGGGTGCTTTTGATACTTTCAACATTGTTAAGTGGAGAAATGCATTGTTTCTCATGGAGGGCAATCAAGTACGTAGACACTTCCTTGCATGATATAAAGTTTCGTCCACTAGGGCTGCATATATAAGACCAAAATGAAGCATAAACATCAAAGCCACTATATTGTGTAGCAAATATATAGCTATGAGCACATTTGGTCAGTGTAAAATTTGGGTGAAATGGTTAAATAAGCTGAAATTGCTGAAGATATAGGTTGGCTAGACATACAAAACTTGCTTATCCAATAATGTAGCCGAATATGATTTTTAACATGAAAAAAGAGACCAAATATCCATATCTAATTAGGCCAAGCATGTTGTTTTTCTTCATTTCAGCAAAAGAAATAATCATTGGTGCAAGTGTACTAACGAATGGGTATTATGAATACCACTGCAATTCCTAAAAGGAAAGTACATTAACAAGTTCTCAGGGCCCGGAGCTGAACATGTTGATAATGCACATTTTCTCACTAATCATATTCAAGATTAAAAAGGAGAGCAGAACATCAACTAAATTGGTCACAAATGAATGTGCAATTGCAACACATGTAAAGAGTTGGAGAATAAATTTGCAAGACGAGTTATGTGATTGTGTGTGTGTATTTGTATATAATATATAATCTCTGGGTAATTTTATTACTTATGTTGACAATTAAGGACACCAATCTATTTATCCAGATTCATGATCACCCGATATATTTTTCATAACAGATGAATTTGTTGATATGGAATGGTTTTAATAAAATAATATTCACATCTCACAAGGCTATTAATTAGTCCCATAACTAGTTCTTCTATTTTAGGAATCACACACCATGGGGGTGTTTGGTAAATGGCGTTTCAGCCAAAAAATAGCGGTTTGACCACTTTTGGCATTTTCGATGAGTGAAAACGTTGTTTCGTAAATAGCGGTTCGGCACTAGCGTTTTTTAATGGAACCGCTGAAATGAAAACGCTGCAAGTAGGAGAGTTTTGGGTTAGCGTTTTGAAAAATCAACAAGACTTCATTAACTATAGTATTCGAAGTCTCTAATAATTTGAAATGAGTGTGTTAAATCAAAAGTTTACCATTTTCCATTACATCTGCCTCTACTTTTTTTTGCCCGGAGAAGCCACTATAAGTGGTACATCTGCCTCTACATTTACAATAACTTAACAAGTTATCAAGCAGTTTTCTAGTCAAGACACCATCTTTCTTCAGGGAAAATAGTTGTCCCATAGGTATCCAAGGAGCATCTTAGAGTAACTGTAGAAACACTAAATACCTAGTATAATCTTAAAGGTATCCCCTCCTCATTTTGAAACATATAAGAACATAAAGTGACTTTAAAGGATATAAAAACAAGCAATTATTATATCAATACTAGAAGACCAGTTATTCAGGAAACCTTATGTAGCGACGGCAGTACACCCAAACATAGCCTGCCTTCCTTTTGAGGGACAGCAAAAGCTTCCATCCTTTAGGCAAAGTATCCCCAAACTGACTGGCGTCGACAATTCTCCTCTTCTTTCTCCTACTTCCCCACTGTCCATTCAAACTCTGGAGAAACCCTAACAGCTTTGCCTCACCCTCAAGTCCTTCTGTCCTCCGCCTCAACTCCATGCCAAATGGATCCTGCAATGAGCCCAGAGCAACCAAATCAACCGGCAGGCCAACAGCATTCATAACCTCTTTATCCCCATCCAGCGAATTCTCCAAGGTCACTGCTTTAGATATCGCCGTATCCCCATTAGAATGACTTGGATGCTCGAATTTCACGTCCACAAGGTCGCTTTTGTCCTTTCTCGGCCGCCCACGCTTTCTCTTGAACCCCGGGGGCGGGACATTGGGCAACTGGGCAACCGGCTGGACTGAGCCCGTGTAATCAACTGGGATGGGAACCAAATCGGTGGGGCTCGTCTCCGCAGCGAAGAGCCGTTTCAGGAGGGACACGATTTGAAAGTTCTCCGGGTCCGTCTCGAGGGAGGGATGGTTCTGGTTGTGATTTGAGGCGCGCAGATGAGGTGTTCGGCTACGGAGAGCAGAGGATGACGACGCAGGGGCGAGACGGAGGCGGGAATAAGTCTGTTTGCGAGAGCCGGCGGACTCGTTGAAGACGGAGCGGTCGAGTTTGGGGCTGACGACATCGTCGGAGCGGCGGGGGTCGAAAGCGGATGGAGAACAGAGGGAAAGAGTGTAGAGCTCCGATTGGGAAAGGAGGCGGAGATCAACGGTCGGAATCGATTCTAATTGTAATGGGCGGTCGGAATCGGCGGGGAGTGGGGCGGCATCGAGTGTGTCGACGACGGTGGCGGACGCCATTAGTAGGCGGGGGAGGGGAAAGAGCAAATTTGAGTTTCCCGGAGCGAGTGAGTATATATATTCCCGGTGTCACTGTTTGTACGAACTACGACAAGAGCGGGAGGGATAAGTAGAAGCAATAAAAAAAAGTGAAAAAAAATCAAACCACTGATCTGTAAAACCAAATCTTCTTTGAGCCCCTGCCTGTAATATATCTGCAATTTCACGCAAAAAGAGTCAAAAATCCGAATTTTGGCGTCTGTGATTTGAATTGTGTCCCGCAGGCCACAACTCAGATCCGATTTTCGGGAAAAGAGGAAAACCGCTCATAGTCCTTAGTCTGTAACATAATGGTTTGGTTTAACCGAATTGAATCGTATCAAATCGAATTAAATTGAATTGAAATCAGATCATATGCAATTTGGTTTGAATTTGATATTATTTCTTCCCTATGATATTAAACTGAACCAAACCAAAACTGATAAAAATCGAACAAAATCGAACTGAACTAAAGAAATTCAATAAAACCTCCATATATTATTAAAAAATAACAAATCCAAACCGAATCAAACTGAAAGATAGTACGATTTTTGTTTGGTAACAATTCTCTCAACCCGTTCTGAACTGAACCGAAAACCGATATGTCCAGCCCTAGTCTTAATAATGAGACCAGGGCTTTTTTAAGATCCAAGAATGATTTAATTCTATGAAAATTTCTGATATAATTTGATTTTGTGCAATTTGTTTAAATGTCGTTTAGTATGGTTTATCTTGTTTGATCTGGTTGATGTTTCCTTTATGTGTTTATTTTCAAACTGTCAGATCTTAGTTTGATTTGGTCTAATCTGATTGATCTGGTTAGGACAACTGAGGGTCCTATTAAAACATCACCTGCACATTTCGTTATTGATTTCTATGACAAATGAGGATATAATCAATATTACGCATCAAAGTTTACTAATTTCAAGTTTATATAGTGTTGATTCTCCGTGAAGTCATAATTTTTTATTTGTAATGAGTTACAGAAATCACAATATATCAAATCGGAGTATTTCAGTACTCTATGTTCTCGGACTTTTAGGGGGCCGGGTAAGTTGACCACCCTAACCACCTTGGTTCTGCCCCTGTCAATAGGTAATATTTGGAAGCCTGGATTAACAACTGATACCAATTTCTTTATTACATTAAGTCATTAACCATATCATAACAAGTAAAATTTTGAAACGCCTCACATTACCACTAATAATATATGATGGATTTTAATTTATAGGATGGAGTAACATTATTGAGCACATAAGTTAAATGCCTAATATTGCATCTAGATTTAAGAATACTTTTGTAATATTGCATCTAGATTTAAGAATACTTTTGTAAGTTCTTCTCACACTTTTATTTTATTGATTTACAAAATACAAGTACGAGATATAGTCAAATGACTACATAATTCCTCAAGGACAGATAAGTAATGCTTAACGATGATAAAGAGGAAAAATTACAATTCATCACTTCTTTACTAACAAATAATTTTATGCATAACTGCAGCAAGATAAAACAATGTTTTGTAGTGTGTACTGTGTAATATGTGTTCTATCTACACAATTCACATAAGTAAGATTAATTACTCTAACTTCGCACCTTTTCAACATAAAGCGTATATCTTATAGACATCTTTTTTTATTTGGATTCGTAGTTATAGAATTTTTTAGGTGGCAACTTCGGTACCTTTCTAAAATATGGGGTATCGTACCTATCATTCATTTGATTGGACTACATTACTTTATCATTTTAAATTTAGATTTAAATAATTAAACTGCTACACTCACATTGGTCAATGTGGATAAAGGTATGATATCTTATGGGTACCATAGAATATACTCCCTCCGGTTCTTTTTAAACTTCAGTGTTTGACTTCACAGTTATTAAGGAAATAAAGTTGACTTTACTGTAGAGTACACTGTTGAGACACTGTTTGGCACTGTTGAGACACTGTTTGGCACTGTTGAGACACTGTTTGGCACTGTTTGGCACTGTTTTGGTGTAGATTTCTTTGCCAAATAAGGAAATAAGGAAGTGTGAAGTTTATTTTGGACCGTCCCAAAAAGGAAAGTGAGAAGTTTATTTAGAACCGGAGGGAGTACCTTTTTTTATTCTTATACGGTATACCCACCACCAAATACCACTACTCAATCTTGGATACATAGCATTATAGCAATGGTCTTTAATAGCATTTTGGCAAAGATGTGCATTTGAAATGGCATTGCTTCAACTACTACTTCAATGGGAATAGCATCAAATCGAATCAAGGAAGCAGCCAACAAGAAAATGAAAAAAACCATATCTCACGTGAACCCTAGAACAGTTTGCCTAAACTTGATCTCGAGATGGAATAGAAGTTTGAGACTTTGAGTTAGTCCAAGAACTATAGGGAATGCCAGTTCAGCTAAAACGAATAGCCATAATAATGAAATTTGTCTAGGAACAATCCCCTTGCTCTAAATATGGAAAGGACGTTGAAGTATATTTTCAAAAAAAAAAAGTTTCAAGTATCGTCACAAGAAACGACACACATAAAGCTTTGCAAATAAGCTAACTCACTCGACATAAAAACATACTCCATCGGTCCCCGATTTAAGTTCTCAGTTTGACTTCACAGGTTTTTAGGTGGAGTATATTTATGTGTTGATTTTCCTAAAATGCCCTTGGAGGGTAAAAGGCAAACCCCATGGTAAGAGAACTTAGATGGGATTGATGGCCTGTCCATAAGCTGTACACAAACAGTGTACAACCAGAGTATCACTCCAGGGGGTGGAGGAGTACATGCGGTTGTATGCCCAGAAGCTAGATCGGAGGTTGTCCGAGGAGATGGCTGACATTCTCTATTGGTCCGAGGAGACGGCCGACATTCTCTACTACCCACCGGCAATCTCAACGTCCTCCCTCACTGCCAGAACGACATTGTTATTTCATCCTCCGTCATCCGGTTATACCTAGCGAAAATCATCCTAGCCCTCAAACATCTTCACGGGCTGAGCATTTTGCTGCGATTTGAAGCCTGAGAAGATCCTCATCCAGCTATCAGTTCAGGTGACCTTAACCAATTTCGATCTCTCTACAAGCTTGATTGTGAAACTATACTCAACTTACCTAGTTTAATTATTTTCTAAATAATAGTGTCATTTTCCAATGAGAAACTTATGTTGGGACGAAGGTAGTATTAAACTTGGCCGTTAACTAAAAAATCCGTGAGCCTAGTCAAAATGGCTGGGACACACTCAGGATAACAGCACAGTAAGTAAAACATTACATTCCTGATTTATTGGTAGCCTGCAATTCATTGTTGCATATCTGCAAACTTATACAACTTCTCATTGAATACAACCTGAGGATCCTTATTGATCAAACTCCCATCTTCCCCACTATATGCATGCCTCAAGAAGACACACCAGTTCATCTCAGTACCACCTAGGTAAAACGTCCGAGCCTGTTTCTTAAGCATCTGGTAAGTATGCTTAGTCAGACAAAACTCATCCTTAAACTCCACAATGTTATGTATGTATGCCCTCTTCTCCAATGTCAAGTTCAAGAACTCATGAATGACTCCCACCCTAAACTTCTCCGCCTCCAGCGTCCACAAATCCATCTTACCGCCACCATCTGAATAAGGAGAAACCAATGGCAATGTGTTCAGCAGATTCAACCTCCTCTCATCATCTTCATCCAGCTCCAATGCCTTCCCATGCTTTACTGGAAATTTAAACGCCTTCTTGGCCCTATCTTCATCCACCAAGAATTCCTTCTCCAATTCACTCACGGCTAACAAAGGATCCCAATTCACGAGCTCAATTATTCTCTTCCCGTCGTTTTCGACCACTACCCGAAAATAATCTGGATACTTCCCAATCCTATCCCGGAAATCTTCAGGTATACCGAACAAAAGCCTGTTATGGTATATCTTACTTAGAGCCATTCTTTTATCCTTGGACATCATTAACAATTTCCTGACCACGGCAACTCTTTTCTCTTCCATACTATTCATGATTCTGGACTCTTCTTCCAGCAATTCATCCATAAACTCGGTGAAACCTAGCCAGAGCTTACCGTCGGAATGGCGATAAATCTGAAAGATGGACGGGTGGTGTTGGATGAACTTTACTACCTTTCGGCCGCGGGGGAATCCGAGCTGCTGGTGGAGTTTCCCGGCGTCGTCGAGGCGGATGATGCGTTCCGGCTGTTTGGAGAGGAAGTCTTTGGTTTTGGTGAGAAACCGGAAGTGGTTGTCGCGGGCGAGGAGGTTCTCGAAGTGGGGGGAGAGGTTTGGCTCGGTTTGGACCAGCTTGGTTCTCGGACTTTCCTTCTTCTTCCGTTTTTTGCGGAATTTCTTGGGGGTTTTAGTGACAAGGAAGGAGGTGGAGAAACTGGAGGCTAAAATAGGGGGAACATTGTACTTGATTTCGGAGTTAGGGTTTGAGAATGCGGGTTTGAGGCAGTGTCGCGAATGAAGGGCTAAGCAAAGGACGCGCCGTAGGACCATTGCAAGTTGTGATGTCTTCGGAAGCTAACCGCCTTCGTGGTCCTATTCTCCGGCCCACCACCGCTCCTCCTCGTCGCCGGCGTCTTCTTCTCCGTATCTGTAATCGGCACTTCGGTTGTGCTGCTGTTCTGTTGCTCGTCCTATTCCCTATTCCTGGTAGTCTGCCAAGCGTAGGCGGTTGACCGCTGGTCTGCCAAGCGGCCGATAAAAAAGGAAAAAATTCTAAAGTTACTCCATTCTATACCTTATTTTGTACCCTTCCCTAATTTTGTGGTTAAGAAAAGCAATGAATTTAAGTGGAACAATTGTTTTGTGAGCCACTCATAGAGTGAGGTACAAATGGGGTACCCCATTTTGGGGTAACTCTATCATTTCTCTTCTGGCGATTTTCTAGTGACTCCCAAACATTAGTTTTTTTTATTCGCAAATAAAAGTAAAGGTGAAGATGATGACAGTAGATGATGATATGAATAGAAAGTAAGTAGAGAAAAGAAAACAAGAAAGAAGAAAGAAAAAAGAAGGGATGGTTCTTAGAGAGAGGGATGGAGGGAAGGAAGGGTAGAAAATTAGGAAAAGTTATAGGGTGTATCCAGGGCGGAGCCAGGATTTAATGTTAGTGGTGTCAGTAGTATATAATAATGTCCGGATTAACGGGATCTGCCGTCCGGACAAGTTCATTTGAGGGCCTTCCGAGTCTAAATTTGTATGGAAGTTTTTGAGCATGTTCTTCATGAAGTGTAAAACATCACTACAAAATTTATCAAAAACTTTAATTGCTAATGTTGGTAGAAAATAACCTGGGTAGAGAAACTAGCATCATTTCAGTATAGTGAAAACAACTTAGCGAATACATGGGGGGTGATGGCTTATTTATAGGTATCCATCACAAGTCCAAAGCCTAACCTACGTGGGCTTGGCCCAAATATATAATACATGTCCAAGCTAATGGGCGAACTGGCCCGATAAATAAGTAAATGAGCAGTGGGCTATTTCCGCTCGTGAGACTGTGTCTTGGGCCTAGTTGGGCCAAAGCTTGGGGATAACGGGCCGATGGCACTGGGCCTGGTCCATTATCCCAACAGCTAATTCAGTCAAATAAATTATTGAAAAACACGGTGTTTTATGTGTGTGTATATATATAAAGCGCCGTGTTTTTCAATAATTTATTTAAGTGACTTACGAGTGGAAGCTTAAGATAACAATTTGTGGAGATGTTCTACACTTCATGAAAACATGTTCACAAAATTTTATCTTAAAGTTTGACCCGCAAATCTCTCAAACAGGCTTGGCCGGAAGGAGGATCCCTTAAGTCTGGACTGACAAGACTATTTCTTGTACCTCTATAAAGCAAAATAGGAAAAATGGTCATCTATAAAATTAAACTCCTAATTTACAACTACCCACAACGCGTTTTCAATTTTTCATATGTTGAAAATGTTGTGCAAGTTTTTCGTTGTTAACACTTATAAATATATCTTTCAATAAAAATAACTAAGATATCATAGCATTCATCAAAGCATCTTCCATTCGATTGTGCAATCGGTTCTTTTATGATTCCGCCGTTCCTTCTTGCAGCGATTCAGAGTTGGAATGTTGGAGTAAGAGTTGTGCCGCCCAAACTTTTATTTTGGAAAACTCCTATTTTGATAAGTTTAATCAAGTTATTCTTTTAAAAGGACTAAATAAGTCTTATTTGGGGACTAAAACATACTTAGTCCTATTTTGAACTCTGTGTATGTGTTAGTCTTATATTGAACAATTTCTGTTTTTTAAATGGTGGTGTCAATTTTAAATTTTTGAAAAATTACATATACCTACATGTAGGTTATTTTTTCAATGGTGTCAATTTTAAATTTGTAAATAATTATATATACCTATATATAAAAAAGAAAAATTTCACTAGTGTGAATTGACACAAGTCTATAGGTGGCTCCGCCCTTGGGTCGTATACCTAAGGTGTACACCTAGTAAAACTAATGAATTTATCCCTCCCTCTGAAATTATTTGGGTTGATCAATACAATTTTTTCTTACATTTCTACACTCTTAATAAAGTTCATATGATATTTTTAGTATATATCAATTTAATAAAACATTAATTAAACTATTATAGGCTATGCTTTTACATATCACTCAAAGCAAGATGATAGGTAAAAGCAAGCTAGACCATCGATATTATTAACTTGACTTACGGTTCCTTATTCTGTAGTGTTATGTTCGAGTTGCTCATTTGGAGAATTGGAGATTATCATTTTCTTTCTTTAATTCTAGAACTGGTGGAGTATTTTGGCTTGGATCTTCACCCCACAAATTCAAAGAGCAACCCAGCCATTTCCCCCTCCACATTTCCCCTAGGCCATGTTCCTCTATTACAAACCCCTTTCTCGACCTTGTTCGGATTTAAGAGCTTTCATCTAGGGGATTTGGGCGGGACTGGATTTGGGAATTGTAGACCCAATACCGGCCAGGTTGGTTCCGGGACCGAGCTGGGTCTAGTTTTGATTGTATTTTATTTTGGTTTTTCTTATATTTTCCTACCCCACCCCCCAAACCTCCCAGCCCACCCACCTAGCACCCAATCCATCTGAAAAAATAAAAAACGGGGGGGGGGGGGGGGGTCCACCAAATAACCATCCCGTAGCCCGCCTCAACCCCCCCCCCCGGTTCGGGCCCCAAGTCCCGATCCTAGTCGGGTGGGCCGGGCCGGTTTGGTCCATGCCTACTTTCATCGCTCTCAAGAGGCACAACGCACATGGCATAGCAGTATAGCACTCTAGTTATCCGGTTATCATTCGGCACTTGTGGCATGGCCACATGCCGCCTCTGCATACGGTAACATGAATCTCTCATTTATTACTGGAGAAAATGGAAACTAATAATCCAACCTTTTAGCGGACTTCTTACCATAGTCGTCCCATCTTTTCGTTATTCAAGAATAATCCAACCTTTGCACCTCATCTTCAATCACTGGTCCCTGACCGATTGATGACCTGTTATTTCAAGTTATTTTCTTATCTTTGCAAACCATTATACCATCAATCTCACCTTTCACAAAGATAATATTTTGCAAAGATAAGAAAATAATTTGATAACATTTTTCATTAACCGGTCAGGGACCAAAGAATGAAGATGATGTGCAAAGATTGGATTATTCTTGAATAACGAAAAGGTGGGACTATTGTAAGAAAACCGCTAAAAGGTTGGATTATTAGTTTCCATTTTCCCTTATTACTGTGATGAGTACATCCACTTGGATAGTTATAAAGAATTTGAAAAATTATTAATGCACATTATTTCCTCCCAATAACTTAGTCATGCACTCATGTCATCTCTCTAGTATGTCATTACCGGTTTTTGGTATAGTTATCAAGACCTTTTTCTTTCATTAATAGGTATATTCTGATTGTAATACTGTTTAACCTCAGTTTATATATATATATATATATATATATATATATATATATATATATATATATATATATATATATATATATGGGTGGGATCACATACAAACTAGTCCTCCCATGCTAACCTACAAACTGTCACAAACTGTGTATCTTTACATTATTTGTACTGCATATTGAAGTTTAATGTGTTGCATATTATTTGTATTGCATATTGAAATTCACAGTGTGCATCTTTACAGTATTTGTATTGCATATTGAAGTTCAAAGTGTTGCATATTATTGAGTTTGTAGGTTAGTATTTTAAGCATGGTTTGTATTTGATCTCTTGCCTATATATATATATATATATATATATATATATATATATATATATATATATATATATATATATTAAATTGAAAATAATAATCCCAACTATTGCCGGTCCGCTGAAAATAATCCCAACTATTGATTATTTTTGTATAATCCCAACTATATCGACTATCCGCCAATAATGGTCCATGACCATATATTACCTCTATAAAAAGTGAATTTTAAATAGAAATTAAATGTAAAAATTACAAGTTGAGATTATTTATAGGGATTACTTCTTATATCTCATCTCATCCACTTTAGAAACTACAAGAATTTATTCATAGGGACCATTATTGGCGGAAGGTCCCTAAAGTTGGGATTATTCTGTAATAATCAATAGTTGGGATTATTATGAGCGGACCGCCAATAGTTGGGATTATTACTATCAATTTTTCCTATTATATATATATATATATATATATATATATATATATAGGGGTGAGTTCTAATACAAAGAGGTCTTCCCATGAAAAGTGAGAAGTGATCTAAGCTCTTGATTACTTAAAAATGGATGGTATAGATCAAAACTCACGGCCAACCAAAATGTGTAATACATAATAGCAAAAGTGCATATGCAATATGTAACGGTGCACATTCAGCTACTAAAAAATATATCAGAAACAATAGTTATACTTCTTATTTTTTTCCTAAAAAGTGATGCACTTTTGTGTTAGTCTAATGCACTTTTCCTCCGTAGTCATGCACATTTGTCACGTTATTTTTTAAAAAACTTTTTGATAATTACACTTTTGACACCGAATTTTACCCTTAAAAATTGATATCATCCACTCATTTTCTCATCTTAACGGTCAAGATTACTTCTCACTTTTCATATAAGGAGTACTTTTTATTTGAACCTCCCTCTCTCTATATATATATATTGCCTTCTACCATAAAAAGGGATATGTTTATTTACATATGCCGAAAGGTGTGCTATTTCACACTTTGAGGCGAACATTGTGTTTCATTTTCTATCATTAGCTTCTTCTCCCACATCTGTCGTTTCTTCTGCTTCTTCATTTTTTGCTTGTCTATCGATGGTTTCTAATTTCAGTTAAAATCTACTCTATCAATTTAAAATTTTGATTAAAAAGAATATACGCCCTCTTTCTCAAACAGTGCAACATTCTCTTTGAAATGCATGAAAATGTGAATTTCCATTTTGAGTTTTTATCCTTTTTTTGTTAAAATTGTAGGCAGCTGCAAGTATTTTATAAAAACTCATTGTTATCATATTTTGAAATGCATGAAAATGTGAAATCACCTGCTAAATGGTTTTCCCCAAAGACAATTCCACCTTTCGAAAAAACCAAGATAGGCGAAGAAATCAAAATATATTACGGCAAGAAGCATCTGGTTTATTCTGTAATATGTTCACAGTTTTAATCGACATATGCTTGGATAATAAGCTTGCTTTATAACGAGCAGACATCACCATGGAAGCCATAACTTTATTGGCTAATGCGTGACAGAGTAATTCTAGTGCCCTATGAACACCTTGCGGCTCCATAGACGTAGTAGTTGTCGGTCCTAAAGCATAACTTCGTATTTGTTTTCTCCTTGCTCAACATCTTTACATTCCACCATTTTTGAGGAACTTTATCTTGAACTGGGATAAAATGAATATGGACACTATCATCTACAATCGTGATCTCGCCCTTCCTACTCTAGCTCACCTGTCTCCTTATAAAAGGTTTTTGGCAAACAAGGAGTTTTTCCTCACTATTTCTCTCAATCTCAATGACTCGAGCATCCCATTTCAACCGTGCTGCGTGATCTCTTGCTAATTCAACAAGAGGGATTGTGTCTCGTAAGATAACCCAGCCCTATATCACAATCCGGAAAAAGTCATATTAGAATGAGTAGCCAGTCCAATGTTTAATTTGTTGTTTTCTATATTTTTAATGTGAGATTATCATTTCAAATTAAAGAGCCAAAACTTGTATAGCTAGGAATTGGTAAGGATATCACAATCTTTCATAGATAATCAAAACAAAAAACATACCTCTGGCCGAAGTAGACGATCTATTTCGATAAAGAGATCCAACATCCCACATTTGTTGTTTCCGTGTTGACCAAACCCAAGTGTTAGAAGACCATCGGCATGAACAAGATCATAAGTTCTTGGATATGTTGGAAACGCTTCACACCTGCAAAAAGAAATAATTTGATTATGAAGAAGATATGTAAGTTCAAACTTCAAACTTAACTATATGATTTGATCATAAGTTCTTTTTGGGGACAAAACAATGCCCTTTTTTACATTGTCATGAGTCACTTAATAGAGATATGAACAATGAAGGGAGAATATACCAATCATGTAAAACACCAAGAAACCCCCTGTCCAGAATCAGGGGAAGGTGATTGGTAGCACTAGTTGGGATAACATTCATAACCCAAACGGACTTTCCAGTTTCCAATAAAGCAGAATTGAACCCTCCAAAACGGGCATTCATGTCTAACACATTTCTAAGCATGTTATAAGGCGGAGAAGGATCCTCTTCTCCGGGTCTCTTCGGATGATCAGAGAATATTAGCGGTGACAGCAATGACCAGTAATTGTTAACTGCAGAGTACCAATTGATAGAATCCTCAGCAAGGTCCTCTGGCTGCAAACCTGATGTTCAATCTTTAAATTAGAGAATGGTATTTTTGCAGTTATGTGTTCACCATCACAAAATAAGGTAGGCCAGTACCGTGAAATTTAAGTTCATTTGCAGTTAATGTAGCCCTAGAAGGCCATTTACTCCGTTTTTCGATTGGAATCCATCTAGGGCTTTGTGTTCCGCCAATGCATGGTCCAAGTGGCCGATAATAGGGCGACTCAATATCATGACCTCTATTGCAGAGAGGAGGGGCAGAACTGGATTTCCTGAAAACACAGTTGCAAAAGTGAGAAGACATGTTTATGTACCGTTTGGTAAAGGTTATGCTATTTAAGCCATATCACATTTGAAATGGCTGACTGTTGCTGAACGTAGATGAAGTGCATTTGGTAAATTGTATTTAATTGGTTTAAGCCAAAAAAGCAAGTTAAAGGTTACTTATTCTGCTTAGAGTTAAATACATGATTGGGTCCCTCAACTATACACTATTAACCCAATACTCAATTTGTTCCTTAAATATTCATTGTACTCAATTTGGTCTTCGACTATGAATTTGAATCCAATTTAGTGTGCTTACATTTTGGTTCTAAATAAGTAAAGTATCTAAAAAAATCCGATCACTAAATTTAGACCCAAATTCAGACTAATCTTGGCTTTCTAGACCTACATTAGGCCACATACGCAAATATCCTTTTTAGTTGAAGCAACAAGTGCAAGAGGACTAAATTGAGTCTAAACGACATATTCATGAACCAAATTGAGTAACAGGGTATTAACTCTATATTCTACTAATAAGCAGAATAAGCCATACGAGGCTGTCGAAGAAGGCCTTATAGCCTGTTTATCCTTCCTCCAGTCCTCTGAAAGTTAACACTGTTGCACATATAGTCAACTAATTTTTGCCTTTACCTGGCAGAATAACACTTCTTTTCACTTGTTTTCTTCCAAACAACAGTCTCATCTTGCTGTGACAGTAACTCCCAACAGAGGTTTTCTGCAAGCTCACGAACAGAGTTCCACTTCTTTTGGTTTTCTTTGTTCCTAAGGGACCGTCGGGCATTCATGACAAATGATGTCCACACAAAATATCCACCAGGTCTTAGCATACGGTCCACTTCCAACAATAGTATACCATCTGAAGTAAAACAGGGTACATTGAAATTTTTTAGGCACAACAGGGGGAAAAATGGTGGAAAAAAAGAACATATGATGAAACATAATGAATTTATTCGAGATATTTTTTCAAATTGCATTTATTAATTTAATCACTTAAAAGTCTAAGAAACAAAAAAAATTAAAAAATAGCATAAACAACCTTTCATTTTCTTTTGAATTTTCCAAGGTAAGCCCAAAATAAAAAATAATATTCTTTGGCATTTGGTACTCTCCCCAGTATTTTCTGGGATCTAAAAATACACTAAATAATTTTGATTGCAAGTGCTACCTCTCTGATCCCAGTCAATGTGACATTCAGCGCAGTGTATCATGTCAAAAGACAGAGATGGATAAGGCAACTGATTTGAAGTGAAAGAACCGATCATTGCAGGAAGGCCTCTTTCAAGTGTGAGTTGAACTTGACTGCCAGAAGGCTCGTAGTTTGCAACGCACATTGTCAATAGCTTGCTCGAGATAAGATGGGCTCCAAAACTTCCAAAACCACATCCTATATCCAATATAACCCTAACCTGAAAATTTTAATCCCATTAGATCTCTTGTCAGTTGTCACTCCAACAAAACTTACCTACAATAGATCTAGTATTATTATTTTTTCCACAACAAACTAAATTCTTTTTGCAAAATTTGAATTCAAAGATACAAAAGAAGACAACTTGATAATATTGATAACGATATAATGAAAAAACTAAGCCTTGTATCCCCTGCTGTTTCATTTCCCCTAGCCTTCTCAAACTTTCTTCCCTTAGCACACACATATGGCTTGGTGTGACTGTGAGGAACACCAGGAGCCTAGGTCTACTATTTTATGCATACACACACACATATACACCATGGCGTAGCAGCATTTCAGAGAATATATAGCTTATTTGGAGCTAGTAGAGGGCTGACCAGCTGAAAAGGCTATACTTTACTGTTTGGTAAACATCATATTGGAAGAGCTTATTGTGGATGAAAAGCTGGAAGGCTCTACTGCCCAGCTTATAGCGTTTTCTATCAAAAGCAACTAGATTTTCGTTAAGATCTTTTTTCCTACAAACAAATTAGCCTTTTTCTAATCATGCAATCAGCTGGTCAGAATAACGAATAGAATCTTCTTACAGCTATTTGACAAATAACGCCTAAAACAAGAAATGAGAATTATCCACGTACCCCAGCTTGTATGAAGTTGGATTCATTTCGTAGCCCAATCATTTCAGCAATTTGATGGGAGTAGTCTTCAATACTGTCAAACATAGCAGATTCCGAACGAAAAGAGATCTTCTCTTCCTCAAGCATCATCATCCTACAACCATTAAAGAATATATTGCTTGCATATATATACTGATACTAAAGGTGTGGGCTTGTCTCCAAGAGCAATTCCCTTTACTGCTGTTTTAGATTCTGAAAACTCTTCATTTCATGAAAACTCTTTATTAAACCTTGAGGTTCCATCTTAATAAAATAAGTATTTCAATAGAATATACTACATTGGTTTGTATTCATGCAGGTTGGCTTAACACTTTTACTAACCTCTTCGTCATACTCCCGGAGGAAAGCACCTCTTGAGCTGTGATTTTGACATTTGCAAGCCAAATAACATCTTTTCCCGTAGGCCACCTTAAGGGAATCTTGTAATTAACAGGTGGAAGAACCAAACAGCTCTCTTGGGACCCACCTCCACAATGCCGATCAAACTCCTCACCATTAGAGAAACCTAACTCAAGACATCCGGAAACGTTGAAGCACGGAACATAATTCTCAATCTCCACCGGACAATATTCTAGCTCCTTCAGTTTAGAAGAACCAAGAGATAAGTGTCCAATATCCTTCAAGTCCAAAACCACTTGTTCTTGAAGCCTTCGATACCCCCCTTGATATACCCGACCTATTGATGAGCTTGTAATTGAAACTGCCCACCAAAAGGATACACCAAGAGCAAGCACAACTATGGCAAACAAGCTTAATTTGAGCATAAGCAATGTGAGTTTAAGACGGGTTCGTCCATTTCCAGGGATGAAGGGATCGGATAAAAAGCCATTGTCACTTATACTGTTCTTAGTTGGTAACTTCTCAAGGGAAAGAATCCGATAAAGGAAGTTCACAGAGAGGTAACTACGATCAGTAGCTGATTGACTATGATCTAAATATTCTTTCCCGGGTTTATCTTTCATCTCAACTTGACCAGGGTAGCGTTCCCCACCTCCCAGAGATAAACCTCTGTGTAGTGGCCTAACCATTTCCTGACCTGCCCGAAAAGAATCAATTATTACTCAAAACTAAAATTAAAAAAACCAAGGTCATTCATCAAACAGATCACACCTAACAATCTAGATCTACAGACTACAAACCACATATGATCATAATAAGATTCAACGTAACTCAACCAAGAATCTATCATTACTCATAATATGGATTAATATAGCGTATGAATAAAAAAGAAACTAGAAGAATATTTTAAAACCATAGGAGCAGTGTAATAACCTATTGAAGACTAGAGCATCAATAGTGGAAAAAGATCATTAACAATTGAGATTGAGCAGTCAACCTTGATATCATTTATAAGAGAGTGGAGCAGTAATATTCAAATCTAAAACAGTAGAAGGGTAATTGTTCATATTAAATTGACTCCAGTGAAACTGAACTACACAAATTCCACATATGACCCAAAAAACCCTTTTTAGTTGGCGCAATTCAAGAGTGACAGATGAAAAAAGCAACCTACTTTACCATCATAGAAGGGGCTATGAAAGCATAACCATTTAAAAATTCCAGTAATAGCCCACAATGGAAGAAAAGGGCTAGTTAGTTAGTAGTACCTTAGCGAGAGTAAGTGAAGAGAGTTCAAGCAAAGCTCACAGATCCTAATAAACGCAAAAACCCATCATATTACTCTCTGGTTTCAGAACAGAGCTGCACCGACGCAATTTGATAGAGAGAGATGGTGGAGTGGGAAAAGGAGGAGTCCAAATCGCGTTGAAAGCTCGCTCGTGAAAGACTTGAATATGTCGGCTTCGTATATCTACATCTACGTAGAATAATCATTAATTTATACAGAGAGGGAGTAATTATGCTATATATTCGGCAAATATGAAAGGAGATGTGAGAGAGAAAGGGTTGATGGAGAGTAGTAAAGAAGCTGTGATTCCTCATTTCCTTTGACTATTGTACAATCAATCACGCGATTAGTTATTAATTTGACAAACTCTTGAAAAAAGCTGGTTCTTTTCCCTTAAATCCCTCTCCGTTTTATTCACTCTAACGGAAAAAGAAGAAAAACTTTTTGACCTAAAGATGACGATCTATATGAGGAATATAAACGATTACGAATCTTCAATACTTCAGATTTAAGGCGGCTAAATGTATGAAATTTAGTTGAATTTGTTGAATCTGCTGCAATTTATAAAATTTTGACTGAAGTGGTTAAATCGATTGATTCTACATATTTATGAAAAATTATATTTACAATATTTTTTATTAATAAAATAAAGAAAAGTATGTGTTCGATGAAAAGTTAATTAATAAAACTAATAAATTGAAAACAGGATCACGAGGATATAAATTTAAGTATATCTGCTCCAATTATGTTCAACTCATGTATACAAAAGGTGTCAAATAGAAGAACCCAACTCATAATCACTTTATTTTTGTGTTACCTAAATAAAAGAATAAGTTTAATATATTTGGTAAACCACATTTTATTTTCAAAAAGTAATTTGAATTTTAAAAGATTAAACCTAAAAGAAAAAAATATTCAACTTTGTTTTTTTGTACATCATATTATAAAGTAATTTAGTCAAATAAAAAACTATTTACAATTAGAAATTAATGGCCTTGAAAATTATACAAACATGACAATGCTCTTGTTTGTATATCTATGTTTTAGATTCAGATTGGGAGTGATTTGGATAAGTGACTAAGGTCACCCGCATAGGTAGCTGAGTTGATCAAGTGATCGGAAAGTTGGAATATTAATCAAGGATTGAAATTCGCATCGATCATATGGATGTTACAACTCCTATTTGATGGTTGGACTTCTGGTGCGCACGAGTACAAGACCTATCATCATTGCACTACTGAGTTACCGTAACTTACCTCTCAAATGTCTTGTCGGATCGGGGCGTGGGGGGCCCTTGGAGGTTGGGGATTCAACCCTTTTTGGAATATTGGATAAGTGGGGGGTGGGGGGCAAGGGTCAGTTTGAACACAATATGGGTGGCCCGGTCAACGGTGGTCCGATCAACATTAATTAAAACTAAGAAGAGTGTATTGTATTAGGAGTTGGTTGCAATTTTTCTTAAAAGCTCATAGATTTTAAAATTGAAAAAAGAGTCAAATAAACCTTTATACTTCAGCCAAGCCATCACATATGTCCCTATACTTAAAAAATAATCACACAAATACATGTACGGTTAATTAACAATCAAGCAAAGTCTAATGGCCGGTAAGCAATCTATACTAACAGGTCGTTTTCTTTATCTGTTTTCCTCTTTACTTTTATCTATGTTTCATGGTTGCACCCACTTGACCAACTTTATTTCATGAAAAATTCTTTGTGTACATGAATTGTACACAAAGTGTACATAAAATCACTCTAGTTGTCTGTGTACATGGGCAGCTCGTTTGAAAGAGGGAAAAATTTGATGTCAATGTTGGAAAAATGTGTGAAAATTGCATTAAATGGCTATTTTGGGGCAATTTTTTGAGTGGGGTCCACTTCCGATTTGGGTTGGGTCAAAGTGGTTTCGGATTGTCCTTGTTAAGAACTACAATTCGATATATGGTACGCTCAAAACGGATAACGGGTGAATGAGAAATCGCTTTTCGAAGTTTACCCGTTAGAAGGGAAAAAGGATGGGTTTCTAGTGTGTTAATTTCCCACACCGGAAAACCCAAGGGATTTGCTACCCTTTATAAAGGGACTCCCCCCTTATGGAGTTAAGATTCTTAAGGGTAAAGGCTCTCTCCACGCGCGCAGGGGGGGTGCAAATCAAATCCCGAATTCAGAGAAGAAAAACCGTGACTTGTGTGCGCGGGCGACCTGCGGACACGAATGTCGTCCAAAAATCGTATCTCTCAAGGGATACGATTAATTTTTGTTTTCTTCCCGAAACGTTTAATTTTTTCCCAGCGGCAGAAGTGCTCGGACAGAAGCCTACGGATCAGAACACCTCGTTGGTGTTCTGATGGCAGAACCCCTCATGGGGTATTCTGATGGCCGCCCATCAGAGATGGGGTATTCTGATGGCCGCCCATCAGAGTTGGGGGTACTCTGATGGTCGCGGATCAGAGTTGGGGTCTTCTAATTGGCCTCCGATCAGAACCCCTCCCGGGGTGTTCTGGTGGAGGTCTTCTGTCGCACTTCTGAAACGTTACAACCATTAATGCACAACGTTCTTATCTTTTAATGCAGCGTTAAATGGACAGTTCATGGACGATTCAATGCCCAACGGACTGGTCATTCATGTCCAACGTTTAGGTCCATTAATTCACTATTTTCACACAACAAATCCTCCTATATAATGGCTGGCAGGTGGTTTGCAACAACACACGTTCTTACACGATTTTACACGAATCCATACACGTTTTAGCTCTAAAAACACACTGCTAGCATTCTGAAAAATTCCTGAGTGTTCAGACTTGTTCTCGTTCGCTGGAACTTTTGTTTGTGTGCTCAAACATTAGTTCGTAGTCATCGTATCCTGGGAAACGATTGTTGCAACGCTCCTAGCACCGTGGGAGGCAACAAATACGTTTTAAGGACATCGTGCGTAGCACGGGCTTTGACTAATTCTGCTTCATCTCGTTTCTTGTTTTTCTGTAGTCATTTTATTTAATTAGTTTATTTTAATTAATTTTCTTTATTTTTCGAAACACACCCAACAGTCAAAACTTCCATAGTTGCCTGTGTACACAAACAATGTACAATTTGTGTACACCAAAAATTGCCCTTTTCATTGTACCTATTTTCCCCTTCTTTTTCGTTTTCTTCTTGGCTCTCACTTTAGTCATAGGCTCTACACCCCCATGAACTCATCTATGTGGTATCCTCTCTAAATTTATTGTCTTTCTTTTTCCATTGTTTTCATTCTCGCCTTCCAACATTTCATATTTTCATTTTTCCCTTGTTTCGTTTTTTCGTTTAGTGCTTTTGCTCCACAAATGCTTCATACCCATTCTTCCACAATATTTCACTTATGCAAAAATCACATTTTAGTTCCTTAATTATTATTCAATTTTTTGATCATCAAAACAGACCTCTATTCATATCAAAAGATTCAGAATCATTACATTAAGAAAAGGGAAAATAAAACTGACACTAACTGAAACTCCAACAACTACGACTGTAACCCTATGGTGAGACTTTGAGACGGTCACCCCTGAAAGAGCAACACGAATCGCTAACCACGTAGTGGGCTTGACACAGCCAAACATGTTCCCATGGATCCAACCATACCCAATGACATAAAGAGAAGTTAAAAACTCAAACAAATTGTCAAAACTAACAACAAAGATGAATACAAGAAAACAAATGACAAACATATAAAAATTACTAGGAAAACTTTCACGGACTCTAGCACCTCGTACAACCCATGGTGGTGGTTCAGGCGGAGGTCGGACCGTCGCTCGATTGATACCCTCTTTCAGTGGCGTACCCGCCGTATGACCCCAAATCCATGCCATCGAATGAAGCGTTCAGCCTCTCCACGCTAACCATGTCCCAATCATCCCTATGTCTCTCTCTCGCTTCTTCCACCATCTTCTCGTTGTCACGATCATCCATCCCGAGCTACGTCCAAACCACGGCAATCCGGCGCAGAGCTGCGTCGATTAAAAGAAACGCTGCACCAGGGCGACGAAGTAAAAATCTTACGCGAGAGATTATTTTAGGGAAACACAGACCGAACTTCGATCAAGAAAGATCGAAATCGGAAATTACCTAGCGGAGGCTCTGCCCTAGGAGCTCTCTGTCGAAGCGGACGCTTTCAATATTAATTATTATTCACATTGAAATGCAGTTTCTGTTTATTTGATTTTATAAATGTCACCCCAATTATTGTATTATTTATTGTAGATATGATTTTCAATGATAAAATCAAAGTATTGCTGTTTATTTTTGCTATGAAAACAATAAAGTTATAATTTCATGTACGGTCAAAACATTATACAGTAGGCAAAAGTTCGGAATTCTTTACACTGATACCTTTTTTCTTTAGATATAGATGACATACAAACAATATCGATGCGAACGTAAAACTCCCTACGTCCCGTTTTAGTTAGTCATCATTGATTTTTCCTATCAATGATGCTAAACTTTGACTAATTATATATTTAGATATGAAAGTATCTATTATATGAAAATGATATAAAAAATGTTTTTTGTTAAATTACTATCATAAAAGCATATGATTGATAAATTTGAGAACACATATTAGTTAAAACGATTGGTCAAAATTTACTATATTTGATTGAAAAAGTTAATGTTGGCTAACTAAAATAAAATAGGACAGAGCTAGTAACTATAATCATTGTTAAAACTTTATTATCGTTCATCAAGGGAAATCAATTTGGCCTTATATTATGGGGCAAAGAGAGTATAAGTTTTGTACACATTTCAAAATTATTCACACTTTTTTTTGTCAAAAGATATCGTGAAAAAAAAAGTAATTTTACGGACAATACATGTATGACACAGACAAAAGGTTTCCAATAGGGCCAAAAATTGTATATTTCTTATACACATTTCAATATCTTTTGTACTCAAAATTATGTTTTTACAATTAAATCATAGAAAACAATGTCTGTCGAAAAAATGCGTATGAAAAATACAATTTTTGCTTGAAAGCATATTTTTTGTCAATTTTGATTCAAAAGATTTAAAAAATGTGCACAAATTTTTTTACAGTTTTTGACCTTATCTCAAACATTTGTTATTTAGAAGGAAGAATAATAATACAAAATGAAAAAAAAAATAGACAATGAATGAAATAGAGCAAAAAATGAAAAGAATGAATTAACTCAGGGAAATGCAAACACAAATGAAACAAGGAATAAAGAACAAGAAAACAAAACCAAAAAACTAAAATTAAAAGATTAAATTAACTTAGAGAAATGCAAACACCAATGAAGAAACAAAAAAAAAACCAAAA